CGCAATCGTGATGTGACAGACTCTGAACTGTTGAACTATGTCAATCCGAAAGTTAGTGTTAATGATTTTACTGATCATTTCACTACCCGTTAACAGCCGCCGTCAAGACAATTTAGATTGAGACAAACTAAGGCCGGCAGAGATGGAAGATAGAAATCTGCGAAGGTCGATCAGTTTGAAATTTTACAATATCCTTTTGGATACAGGCCTCCTCGCAAAGTTATATGGACTTTTGATGCAACTTTACGCCTTTTTCTGATGATCAAACGGAAATAGTGGATTCTTTCGCGAAAAAAGCGTGCTACTAAGCGGCGTGTTCATATCGATGGACTCAGCTCACAGATGTACATTAGTCCCGTATAGTACACTGCCATTCCTAGCGTGGAGTCTATTTGCTTTAAATTTGATCTGATCAGGAAGAAAGAAGCCCATGTTTATTCATTGGAAGCGTCAAACCCATTTTTGTTGGATGAATGAATGGAGGAGCACTTTCCCACTCACTTCAATTGATCTATATGTAGCTGAGAAAGAAAACTATAAGAATTCTGCAAAGGTACGATGAGATTATTTTTCGAACATAAATGAATCTTTTTTGATCCAAGAAGGGATGGAGTTTTCTCTAGTTATTACAAAGATTAACAATTTTCGCTGGCGCTGTTCTTTGCCGTCTTTCAACGCCAGTCGATGTTGTGGTAAACGGCTGAGTTCCTCTTTGCTTGAAAATATCCTACTTTTGCTCTATATTTGCGTGTTGGCTACCATTCGAAGACAAACAATTTCAAAGATTTCACAGTCATGAAGTTTGGACACAAAATTGTGATATTTATAAGACTGAATATCAGATTCCAGTGCGTGAGCTATCGAAGGTTTCCTTGACCTATGTGACGAAAAACTCGTAAGAGATGGTTTCCATGGATTTTCGCTCAAAACAAAATCATTTGCTTCAGCTATCGGTGCGGTCGGTATCGAGGTTCGGAGCTTTGGAAATTTGGATTGTTCACAGTCTTATTTGAGAAAAAAACACTTAATACAAGCCAAAAAAATCAAATACTATAAAAACTAAACTGCAAAAACAAAACAAAAGAAAACCGCGGGTGAGACGCGATGGCTTCGTGGCTTCGCCCCGAAAAAAAAGACGACCAAAAACATCTTCCTTCTCCGCAACTGAAATCAAGAATACCAGTCAGAATGAATCGCTTATGCAGCGACAATGTCAGAAGTTCCTCGTCAAAGGACAAAGCAGATAAAACAGCGGGTCTGCAAAAAGATTTAGGGAACAAAGTTCAAAGCAAGCGGTCATCACGGATTCCGATTGTGGTGAATGGGAGGAAGACCAAAGTTGGTTCTAAAGATAATCTACCCATGAATTTCAAAACTATTCAAGGAGGAAAACCTCTAGGAAGAGATTCAGGTATGTTTATTTCTCAGCAGTTAGCCAGCGTCAGTTTTTTCACTGAAGTAATATATCGAAAATTGAAGACATTTTATAAAACGGTTTCAGGCGAACAGCTGGAATCACCATATTGTCTTTATCATAACATACGCTGTAGGTAAGAAAAAGTAGCAACTGAGATAAATTGGCGGAAACCACGTTGTACAGGGTTGAAAAGACACTAATTGAATGTTCCTCGATTTAAAAAAGTCGATGAGTAAGACTTGTTTTTAACTTTAAATTCCTATTTAATGTAGAAAAAAATTACTACCATTAATTGTTTCTTGTTTGTCATCACATTTCTATTCATTTATTTGTTTATTAACTCTTTTTTCAGTTTTCTATTTCATTTATTTATCTATTTATTTATTAACATATTTTAACTTCACCTGAGTAAAGATTTTCCTCAAGTTTTTAAGATTTTGATCCAGAATTAAACAAGCCTCTTTCGGTTGCTAATTTCATCAGCCATCTTGTTTATTTCAAGCCACTTAGTCGATGCTTGTTTGCACAAACTGGAGGCAAATTTCTGCAGTTACAGCTTCATGACATTTGCTAAAGAAATGAAAAGCTTGCACCTAATTTTTCCTAAGGGGAGCTAATTGGTAATCTCGAATTGATCACAGGTATTAAACTGCGAGAAACTCAAGGCAAACAAGACAAGAAAACGGAAAGTGCCATTCCTTCAATCACAGTTAAACAAAGCAGTTACAGGCGCGCTCCGAAAACCACGCCAATTGTCAGGCGACGTGTACCACGACAGCTTACACCAACAGAGACAGAGTCGAAACAGGTAAATCTGGGAGGAAAATGTCATTTCAGCAAATACCAGAGGTGAAGTATTTCACAGTGACAACTGTCTCTTTTGGAGGATCTGGAACTTAATATCGTGACTAGCCTTCGTTTTACATCTTCGCGAATTAGGAATGTTAGCTTTATAAGGGATATCCAGACATATAACAGCTGCTACAAAAACAACGCATTTTGTGCTTAAATAATCAGGTTTGCAAGGATGAGAAAGAGTCACGAGAAGAAAGCTCAGCAAGAGAGAAATCATCTGCAGCCAAGGCAAAAGAGGTCACGTCAGAGGTCACCACAGCTAAACGAAGCAGTTATAGGCGCGCTCAGAAAACCACACCAATTGTCAGGCGGCGTGTACCCCGACAGCTTACACCAAGAGAGACAGAGTCGAAACAGGTAAATCTGGGAGGAAAATGTCATTTCAGAAAAAACCTGAGGTGAAGTATTTCACAGTGACAACTGTCTCTTTTGGAGGGTCTTGAACTTAATTAATATCGTGATTAGCCTTTGTTTCACATCTTCGCGAATTAGGAATGTTAGGTTTATAAGGGATATCCAGAAATATAACAGCTGCAACAAAAACAACGCATTTTGTGCTTAAATAATCAGGTTTGCAAGGATGAGAAAGAGTCACGAGAAGAAAGCTCAGCAAGAGAGAAATCATCTGCAGCAAGGGCGGAAGAGGTCACGCCAGAGGTCACCAAAGCTAAACGGAGCAGTTATAGGCACGCTCACAAAAAGACGCCAATTGTCAGGCGACGTGTACCAAGACAGCTTACACCAACAGAGACAGGATCGAAACAGGTAAATCTGGGAGGAAAATGTCATTTCAGCAAATACAAGAGGTGAAGTATTTCACAGTGACAACTGTCTCTTTTGGAGGATCTGGAACTTAATATCGTGATTAGCCTTTGTTTCACATCTTCGCGAATTAGGAATGTTAGCTCTATAAGGGATATCCAAAAATATAACAGCTGCAACAAAAACAACGTATTTTGTGCTTAAATAATCAGGTTTGCAAGGATGCAAAAGAATCACGAGAAGAAAGCTCAGCAAGAGAGAAATCATCTGCAGCAAGGGCGGAAGAGGTCACGCCAGAGGTCACCAAAGCTAAACAGAGCAGTTATAGGCGCGCTCAGAAAACCACGCCAATTGTCAGGCGACGTGTACCACGACAGCTTACACCAACAGAGACAGAGTCGAAACAGGTAAATCTGGGAAGAAAATGTCATTTCAGCAAATACAAGAGGTGAAGTATTTCACAGTGACAACTGTCTCTTTTGGAGGATCTGGAACTTAATATCGTGATTAGCCTTTGTTTCACATCTTCGCGAATTAGGAATGTTAGGTTTATAAGGGATATCCAGACATATAACAGCTGCAACTAAAACAACGCATTTTGTGCTTAAATAATCAGGTTTGCAAGGATGCAAAAGAATCACGAGAAGAAAGCTCAGCAAGAGAGAAATCATCTGCAGCAAGGGCGGAAGAGGTCAAGCCAGAGGTAACCAAAGCTAACCAGAGTAGTAATCAGGTTTGCAAGGATGAGAGAGAATCACGAGAAGAAAGCCCAGCACAAAATATCAGACTGGAAACAGAGTTTGGTACAAAGAACAAGATGGAAGAAAATGTTTTCAGCGAGGAAGAGTTGGACTGTAGCTCTTTCACTGAGTCCAGCGGATACCAACGGAAAATGGCTGAGCTGAACGAAAAATCCAGACGGCTCAAGGCACAGTTTGCGGAGGAAAACAGACAGGCTGTCGAATCTATGAACAAGACAATGGAGAAGATCAAACAGAGCCAGGCAAGGGAAGATTGCATCACAAATGAGATTGAGGAGATACGACGGAGACGGGATGAAATAAAAGAAGACTTGAAACGACTTGATGAGATCGGCCGAAGACGAGAGCTCGAGGATAAAAAATGGAGAGAAAAAATGGACGAGAAAAAGAAGAGAGTCGCAAATAGATTGGAGAAGATAAGAGTCGAACGACGTAAATATCAGGAAGGGACAGCTGATGAAAATGACTCAACAGAAGGGTATGATCAACCGGATAAGAATTCCGGTGAAAGTCCAGAGAGTGAGAAAAGCAAAAATGTCACCATAGGAAACGAAACTGTTATAAACGAAGACGTTGGTAACGAAGTGTTACGTGAACCTCATCAGATCATAGAGTACAAAAGTGTAAAAGAGCTGGAAAAGAAGCGGAAAGAAGTAAAGCAGTTGAAGAGACTGGAGAAGAAGGCGATTAAAAGAGAGAAGTTAGAACAAAGAGAACGTAAGAAGATCGAAAAACAGAAGCGAAAAGTTGCTCGCAAACTTGAGAAACTCTCAGCTAAGAGTTCAAAGGTTTCGGAAGAAACTGCAGTAGTTGCTAAGTGTATAAATGAGGCCATGGAGGCTACGAATACAACGGCGAAAGAGAAAAATGATGAAACCCCGAGAGCAAATGGAATTAAACCATCCGTCGACACCTCTTCAGATATCGCAGAGTCTAAGCAAGTTCAAGCACCTCACTCTTCTGGATTAATTACGAATGGAGCGGAGGTTGAGAAATTAGGAGAGACGTTGCCTAAGGTTGATAGGCTAATATTGGGACATACAGACTCTATGGTCGACGAAACAGCGGACAGCCAACAAAGTAACCCAGAGGAGGAGATGCCTCGACAGGATAACTTTGACTGTTTCCCTGATGAAGTTGAGGGAGACATGCACACAGAGGAAAGCAGGTCTCAAGTTTCACAGAGTGCTGAGAATGAGGACAACGAGAAAAATGTCCATGAATGCGACGCCTTACCGAAATATGAGCAATCGGTGGCAGCAGTCGTAAACATAACGGAATATTTAATCCAACAAGGGTTGTCCGAGGCTTTGGAAACAATTATCCCTGTCAGTAAAAAAGAGTATACATTGCGATCGGAAGAAAAGATTTCAGAGGAAGAACCAAAGCTCCACAAAGAAAATGTGGAAATGGAATTTGGGAAACTTAAAAGGAAAAATACCGAGCTCGAGATGCAGATTTGCATCATAAACGAGGAACTTGAAACGTACCGAAAGAGGATAGAAACTTTACAGGCTGACCTGGATGGGAGCAAAGTTGAGGTTGAGCAACTGCAGTCTAAGGAAGAATACAAAGAAAGAGAGCTGGCAAATTTAAAAAGTGATTTCCAGAGAAAGGAGCAAAAATGGGAAGATGCAAATGAACTCTTGGAAAAGGTTATGGTGGAAAGAGAAGAGTTATGGGATGATGTTGATTACTTGGAGGAAAGCTTGAAAGACAGTCAAGAAAGTAATGAAACTCTGACATTTGAGGTCGATGAACTGACGATAATGATACAGGAGATGAAGAGAGAGTACAGAGTGGAGCACAGTCGCTGGGGATGTGGACACCTACGTGAGGAAGTAGAGTTACTTAATGGATCTCTGGAGTTGAATGAACAGAGAACAGTTTTATTAGAGAGCCAAGTGCACGCATTTGAAGCAGAAAGAAAACAGTTAAGAGGTGATGTTGATTTCTTGGAGGAAAGCTTGAGAAACAGTCAAGAAAGCAATGAAGATCTGACGTTTGAGGTTGATGAGCTGAAGATAATGATTCAGGAAATGAAAAGGGAGAATACGCAGCTTAGTCGCCATGGATGCAGACATCTACGCGAAGAAGTAGAATTACTAAACGGATCCCTGGAATTGAAAGAACAGAGAGTAACTCTGTTGAAGAGCCAAGTGGACGCGTTTAAAGAAGAAAGCTGTAGTTTTCAAAATGTTACGCAGAGCATGAAAAGAGAAATAGAGATTGTTAAGAAGGAAAATGTGACAAAGACGACGCAGTTCCATAAGCTAAAATGCGAAACATCACAGACTATTAGTGATCTTAAAGATGACATTGCAAAGTTACAACAAGAAAAGTCTGCATTGTCATCGGAACTATCAAAGGAATCAGGAAGAGATCACCACTTGTATGAGTTAAGATGTGAAAAATCGAGTATGACAGGAACACTTGAAGATCATATAACAAGGTTGAGGAGAGAGAACTGCACTTTGACTGCAAGACTATCAAAGGCTTACGAAAAGGATGACCAGTTGATTGAACTAAGAGAAAAAGTCCAACTTTTAGAGAATCAGTTGAAAAATGTAACTGAGGCGGCAACAGCGTCTGTGAACAGCAAAGAGAAGGAAATGCAGGAAGATTACCGCATCATAAAGAAGCAAGATGAAACGATCAAAAATTTAATCGAAGAGATCACACAGGAAAGATGTGACAAGGACCGCCTCGAACAGCAGTCTAGAAGAATACGAGAACTTGAGACTCAATTACAAAAAATGGAAGACATGAAAAGAAACACAAATCACTCAGTGGATGCCTTGGTGCTTGAGGTGAAACAGGAAAGGTCAGAAAAAGAGCGTCTGAAGAAAAGGGCCATGCAAGCAAAAAAGGTTGGTTCTTGTAGAGAGAAAGAGCTTGAAGAGAGAATTGAACTTCTTGAGAATCAGTTACGTGCAGAAGATGAGCTGACAAACGCCACTCTTATGTCTCTAAAAAACAAGGAAAGTTCGTTACAGGAAGCTACTGCCACTATCGATATGCTCACAGAGGAACTGGAACGGGAGAAGTCGGAAAAAGAAACTCTGAGAAAGGCTGTCGAAGTGTCTGAGTGTAACTCTCATAACGACAAAAGATTGACTGAGAACATTGAAACACTTGAGAAGCGATTACTAGAGATGAGTGATCTACGAGAAAAGACTCTTATATCTCTTAAAGAGAAAGAATGGTCATTGCAGGAGGCTCATGATGAGATCAATGAGTTAACTCAACAAATAGCACACAACAAGTCGCACAAAAAGTTTTTCAAGAGGAAGGCTAAGGCTAAAACGGGTAAAGCTCATCGATTGAATCTCATTCAAAAAGGAACAAAAAGATATACACAGGAGAGGGGTTCGTTTATAGCAGGCGTGGGAAAACGGCTGAAGAACCTGGTACAAAGACCAAGAGGAGTGTCCGCATCGAGCCTGGTAATGAAAAAGAAGGAAGCCCATGCACAGCGTGTGTTAGACAAATTGAGGGAAGATTTGAATGAAAGAGGAAAAGTCATTCAAGACTTAAGGAGTAATTTCAAAGACAGTGCTAAGGAATTGTCGTCCATGCGACGTCAGCTTGAAGATATTCAATGCCAAAATACCGAGCTCATACAGTGTCTTGGACACAAGGAGGAGGATCTTCAAAAGACGCAAAGATACTTAAAAGAAAAGGAAGCCAGCCTTGATGTCACAAATGAAACCCTGCGTTTGAAATGCTCGCTTCTCAGAGCCATGGAGGCCAAATTATGTCTGACGAAGAAAGAGATTGAAGAATTGACACAAGTGAACAAAGAGAAAGGCTTAGAGATAACTCGCATTGAGACAACCCTTACAGAAGTGAGAAAAAAGTTGGTTATTGCTGCATCCTTCATCGAGGAGCAAAATGAACAATGTGCTAACCTTAGGACTTGTGCTATGAAGAAGACCCGAGATGCGGATAAGATGCAAGACGAATTGAAGCGTTTCTCAACTCAACTTGAAAATAGCAGGAACGAGAACGCAAACCTACACAGAGCATTGTTAGCTGCTACAGAGCGTCTTACAAGGGAGAAGCAAAGGCAGTTCAGCGGGACTGAGTTACTGAAAGATGGGCACGGAAGGAAGTCCTCTGAGTCATCATGTGAGGTGAGATATTTCCCTCCCTAAGCGCGAGACGCAAGAGCGATGAGAGCGATCTTGAAGCAGGAGACGATGTACACGAAGACTACACCCTAAAATCCCATTGTCAACTTTCACTTTCTGCTCTTTTTGGAATTAATTGATGTGCTGTAATTTTGACATGCATATTTTCAAGCGAGTAATTCATTTATTTCGTATCTTCTACAGGAAAGCATCTCTAACACCCTGAAAACCAGGAGACAAATGGATGCGTACAAAATGACATTTTTGGAAGACGAGAGTAATGTGGCAGGCAGTAGTCAGGGAGACACTGAAAATAAATGGTCAGTAATATATATTTTTTGTTACTAGGATATGTAACAATCATACCATTAGTGCATTTTGGATATGAGATGGTAAATAGCCAACGAAATGCGTAGCGCCGAGCGGAGTATCACCAGTCTCTATCCAACAAGCGTCTGATGAGATAATTATTAATTATTCAACTACATTAAATCCCGAACGTTTGGATATTTGGAGCTTTTTTCAACTCCGTGCAATGTATTTCCATGTGAAGTGACTAGGAATATGGGCTGATAATCGGAGTTGAATAAATCAATCAGAACATTAGAAATGCAATATTCGGGGTTGAAAATTTAGTGATATGATATAGCTTTAGGTAAAGCTGCAACCCTCGTCACAACTGTTGCAGAATGAATCTTTTTCGCCGCGTTTAAAAGGCTTAGTATTGAAAGAGGTTAGTGATAAATCAAAACTAGACGAAGATTTTTTGCCAGTGAATAGAAACCCTTTAAGCCCAAAATTTTACACAAGGTTATTCCTGGAAATAAAAAAATTTCAAAAAGAGCCAGGATACATTGATTGGGACTTACGCAATATTAAAGGTCACATTTTCACCACTCATAGCGTATCGTCTTCAATGGTATTTTTATACTTTCTTCAAACTTCTCCTTGTCATCTTTCAACGGGTAATTTAGAAATAAAAGTGTCTCCCACTTTTAATTGCAGGTTCAATACTTTTAGATTGGACGAACATCAGTTTGAAACACGGGGAGATCGACATTTTAACTGCGCTGGTACTATCGCTAAAGTTGACCATACTATGCAGAACTTCTCAACACACGGATCACCTAATTCAGTTTCGATACTGCTGTGCAATGGTTAATGTTTTGCGGGAGAAGTACCAATGCAACGAATTGGCAAACCGGAGCCAAGTGATGACATAAGACTAATTTTTATCATTGAAAATTTCGGATGCAGTCGAGATAATCTTTTTTTTTTTGGAGAGGGTATACTTCTTACCTTCAAATAAACATTCGTGCCTTGACATTAAGTGTAAATATATTAAAATACTCTAAAAAGATGTTTACTTTTGTTCTGTGTTAGGGAAGGGGACAGTACATAATAAGAAAAGGAGCAATCTTCTTATTGCAACTTACAGGCCCTTATACACAAGCAGGGGACTGGAAGGCAAAATTTCACACCTTAATCACTCTGTTTACGAACATGACAATTTCGACATTGCTGATTGTAACAGTGTGCGGTTGCAAAACACGAACCTAGTATGTGCTTGGCTTCTCCCGAAGTCCCTGCTGTAGCTCAGTTTTGTAGCATTGGAGCGGAATTTATAAACGTCCGGGTTCTACGGAGGGTGGGGGCTCAGATTCTTCTTTGTCCCATGATAGCACTGCTCAAGTTCATGATATTGAAGCTTAATCGAGAAGTCCTGGGTCAGGTTCCTTCTATCTGTCATCTTGTAAATTTCGGGCTCTGACAAACAGTGACGCCACGGTAAACTGACTCCTCCCTAATGATTCCTTACCGATCCCCTCACTGACCCTCTCTTAGATTCACTGGCGCTGATAATGATAGAAAACTTAACCATGATTCTTTGATTCTATTAGAAGTTTTACCAAGTAATAAATTGGTTGACCCTTGTTGAAGTTGAATGTGACCTGGGCACTATTAACTTACCGATAAACATTCGGTTTCTTGTATTTCTATGTCATAAGGTTTTCCATAGGTTTCACAGGAAAAAAAATTCTCTTTGTTCGTGGGAACGGACGACAAAGTTGATACTGTTGCATTTACCACTCATTTATCGGGAAAGAGCTGTAATATTTGAAACGAAACGCGTCGAAACGATCATCTTCCACCATATTGGAAATTTAAACATGAACCTTTACGAGTATAGTACTTAATTTCTTCGTAAGGGAAAGAATTCCTTAGTCATATGGGTCGAAGCTTTTACTGCGTCAGTGTTAAAGAAGAATTAATAAGTATTAATTTTTGATACATAACTCACCTAACTTTGTCTCCAAAGGGCAGGCTTGATGAATGGATTTTTTTCTTAAACAAAGCCAAGAGTTGAGGGCCATCGCGTCACACTCCCACCTATAATTCATTCTCACCAGGGCAGGCTTGATGAATGGATTTTTCTTAGTTGAGGGCCATCGCGTCACACTCCCACCTATAATTCATTCTCACCTTACCCCCCCCCTCACTGAAACAGAAATGGACAGGCAACGGATGGTGGCGTTATAATTACGAATTTCCAAAAGTTTCATCTAACAGGATATTAACCTTGGTGATGGAACTGAATTTGAGAACTTTCAACAATTAATTTGAAACTTTTGAAGTTTTCTGGCTTGAATATTGGGCTATAAAAACGTGTTATCTTGCACCTTTACCAGTCTAACACCTAGTCATTTTGATGTAATATAAAAATAATGCACCACTTCAACAGATCAACTCTTCACTATTAATAAAAATTTTGAAATGTCAGGAATACAGTTTCTTTTAATCCCCAAAAGATTTGGTTAAGCCCTGTTTCGACAGCACTTGGGAGGTTCTGAGGTGTCAAGGGAAATAAAAAACAACGCTTATGCAAAAATTTAGGGGAGAAAAATAATGTTACTAGAATTAAGGAAAATTGGTGAATTGTTTAGATTTTGAGTGGCAGCTTGTGGTGTGTAGGGTTCATTTGTACATAAGTGTACATGGTTGCCTTTTATTCATGAAAATAAAAGATTTTTGTCTTCTATAATTAGAAACTATTGCCTGGAAAACATGAGGCAAGGTGAAGTGAGGACGTTATTTACATGCACCAAGCTATCATCAATTTGCACCAGAATACCTATAATGGGATGGCCACTTCAGAAGGTCTGAGGAGGTTTGACTCCTCTTGGGGTCTCAGAATGATTCCCTTGCCCCACACTCACAAATAAAACATCTCACATCTCTCTCTAAGACCTGTCTTGCTGGTTTGGTATGAGAGAGGAAAACCGTCTGTTTCTTGTCAAAATTTTCAGCATGAATAGAGTGGCCTCTTTACAGTGAAACGGAGAACTCTAGAAATATTTATGGGACGTTATGTGTTCCAAGGAGAAGGCCTATTAGCCACAAGAGCAGCAATTGTTTTAAAGCTGTGGTTTTGTGGCTAACTACCTATTATAACTTGTAATGAGCTTGGACAGTACACAAACGACCTGTCAGAATCAATTCAAAGTGCTCATGGTTTTCTAAGTCTTGCAGTATTTACATGTAGTTTGAATCTTTAGCAATGATAGACATTTGGATTAATTTTTGGCTCTCTCAGTATCAAGACTTGACTCAATGAATTTCAATAGCATTTTCTCATTGCTTTATGGGCAATCCTTTTGGCTCTTCTGAAATATTTTGGTAATATTTTTGCCATTAAGTGAGATGCTTTTTTTTTTGGCTCTCTCAGTATCAAGACTTGACTCAATGAATTTCAATAGCATTTTCTCATTGATGCACAATGTGGAGAAAATTTCAGTCTTCCTTACTGGCCAACTAATCTGGATTAGATCAAATTTGAAGATTAGCTCTTGTACTAGCCCAGGTTTACGAATACATTATCAGATTTTTCTGAATAATCCACACAAAATTTATCCCTTGAACAATTATGGCCAGGCATTGTAACTGAGGGAATTATTATTCATAATTCATTAGGTATAGGTTGAAATATCTATGGTTTTCAAACATGTACTATAGCCTTCATCAACATTAAGGAATCATGATAGATCTTTTTAGATCTTTTTCTATCAACTCAGTTGATAGAACAAAGTCATTTTGTAATATGTGACCCTCCATGGGAAAACGGACACTAACGCTTTTCCGTTAAACGGTCTCCAAAAACGGTTGTAAACGGATAGTAAACGGCTAACTCGAGCGTTTAAACGGATGCCATAACCGCTTAAACGGATGGCAAAAAATTTAAACGGTTGACCGAAGTCCAAAAACGGATAGCTTAGTCCTTCAAACGGTTGACCAAAAATAAAAACGGATAGCACGAAACGTTAAACGGTTGACCGAAGTTCAAAAACGGATAGCTCACACTGTTAAACGGTTGACCAAAAATAAAAACGGTCAGCCCAAAACGTTAAACAGTTGACCAAAGTCCAAAAACGGATAGCTTAAACCGAGAAACGGTTGACCAAAATCGACAAACGATGAGCTAAAAATTAATGTTTAACGGCTGTGGTTGGGCCGGCGAGATCTTCTGCGGAAAAACTTTCAGAGTGAAAACGGATAATTATCCTTTAAAGCGAAAACATTGAGCATGATAATTTGAAAAATAATAACTAGCATATACTTACGCATTTTATTTCTGGGTTAATTACTGCCGCTTTCGTGTGACATTCATGAAATAAGCGCAATTTACTGAGAACAGTTTCGCTGCCGAATATCCTGAACGGCTACTGCGAGAAACTCATAATCTTCTCCTTTGTTTATTCTTATTAGTATTGAAAATGAACTTCATTTTTTCCTCTTCGGAAGTTTCGCGAAACAAATTTGCATATGCAATGCCGCCACCTTGTCTGAAGCCGAGACATTTCAAGATCAAATAACGCAATGAAGTTCCATTGCAAATAAAAGGTCGAATCGGTGTCACGCACCAAGTGGGGCCGTTAAAATGATTGTCAATAAAACCAAGAACGATGAATCACGATGATATAAACAGAAAGAGAGTAGCCGATTTAGCAGTCCATCGACTGGGGGTCTGCGAAATATACCAACCCAGCTCACTGCGGCTGAAACACACCCCGATAGATGCTAGACAACATAAGGTCAGTTCAACTTTATTTATATTACGAGGAACGAGCAAGCTTATGTACATATTTGCTAAGGTGACACTTCGAGTTAATTTTACTTTTGATGGACTTCCACACTTTTTCTTTCTCCGTGGCAGATTCAATTGGAAAACGGCTAAACACCAGCACCTTCAACGCCTGAAGTTTCGTAAGCTGTTGCTCAGCTCTTCCGAGGTATAGAAGAAAGGCAAAAGTTTCAGAGCGCACCGGTGCCTCTCTTTTTCCTTTTCCAAGACGTCTCGTACCCCTTTCGATTTGCTGGGCGTCACCAACGATCGTATGACGTCTTCACCGACTATGTCGTCCTCGAGGGTTGATGGCTGGAGTGCCGGTGTTTGCGGGGTAGTTGGTGCTGGTGGAGTTGAAGGCACTGGTTCGAACACTTCCATCGGATCATCGCTGAGGAATGCCAAAGCCTCGTGGTCGATGGTTTGCAAGTTACCGGTCTGAGGAAATGGACCACAATTTACTCCTGGATCACTGAACTAGAAAGTAGGGATATTCACTCGTTAGTTTCGGACCAACGACACCAAACAGGGTCTATTTCCTGTTCCGGTTCAAAGATACTCAGTATCCTAGTGCAGTTTTCCTAACAAGTCCATTTTACGAAAAGCTTACGCAAATTATATATAAAAAAAGCAACTACTTACCACTTTCTCTGACGAATCCAGACGTTGTTCAATCTTGTTTAGTCGAATAGAGACCCGTTATCCTCCATTGCAGACAGTGTGTCCTGTAATGTCTCCATCATCTGTAGAAATGTAATTTGCGTTAGTTCCATAGGTACTTATAAGATACTAACACTTAAGCCTGCTTACTCGCCACCAGTTAAAAATAATTCTAAAATTTTGGTGTGATAAGGGAAATTGGAAGAACCTATCAAAATAACACTTACATGCTATTCGCAATCATAACCTCAGTTAGATTGACATCTTTGAAGTAGAAAATGAGACAATGGTATTCTTGCAATGTTTCTTCATCCATTTTTGAAAATTCAGATTAACATTGATCAATGTGCTTACCTTGCAGACGCTTTCCTGTACTTTGTTATGCACAGCTTCCACAACAGAGACATTGGCAAGCTGAATGTTGTCGAGTTGTCCCTTCAGGGTTTTACATTCAGCCTCCTTGGCGGCTAACTGCTGTTTTACGGCCTCCAAATCTTTTTCTGTGGTCGCCGTGCATTTCGCTTTCTTGTTGGCTCGATTAGTAGCCCATTCAACCTCTCTCTTTTCCTGCTCAGCCAGAAACGCACTATATGGATTCCCGAAAGTCACTGAACTTTCCTAGGAATAAAAGCATCTTCATAAACACAACGAAATACCAAATGTAAGACCACCGAAAAAGAAAACACCGTAGGCGTTTTAGGACGACTCAGATTGATACAATTGACTCAGACTACAATCAACCTCGGAAGGAGTAATTTCAACTATCATGAATGCCTCACAAAAGTAACCGGTATAATGTTAAATTTCAATTCAGTACAAATTTCTGCATGCACTTGTTACGTTCTGAATCTTCTGTTGAGAATGTAACCGTCTCGCACTCAAGTTTTATTACGTACCACCTTAAGTTTACGTAACAGTTCAAAGGACGTGTAATGTAGTCTGCGAACTGAACGTTGATGAAACGACTATAACTCCTTACACAGCTCAAATCAATTCTATGCGTGAAATATAATTCGATTTGATTCAGCCCAAGTTCTCTATTACTTAATGGACAATTATATGATGTCGTTAACAAGTGGAATTTTTTTTTTCCGAAATCAACACGACCAACCTTATGAATACTTGAATTGATTTGAGTTTTCCGTGACTGCTGGCTTTCTTCCTATTTTCGACGGGTAGTTTGGACTGATTGGAAATTGGATCGGGTTTAGTTTGCACTATGCAAAGATGCAGCATCAGTAGTTCTTTTTTTTTTAAATCTACCCCCTTTAATCTTTTATTTAAAAAGGTTAATTTGTTCTCCTAGTCTATTTATGTAATGATCCCATATTGTCTGAACATGGTTCCTATTGAATCAACCTCAAATTCAAATACATTCATTCCTGTCATAGACTGAAGTAAATGCGATACTTTGCATAAAACAATTGAAGACCCCTCACTGTGTTGGTAACTGATCACTTACTCGTCAATATTTCAGTACAGAAAATATCCTACATTTGACTCAAAGAAAAGAGCTTAGCAAACTGAATTCCCAGTTTTTTAGGAATTCCTAGGAATTCTCAAAAATTCCCAACTATGCAAATGCTGTTAAGCACTGATTTGAAAAGCTTGGAATTACTGGGAATTTTTGGGAAAGGAAGACTCCAGTTTAATGAGGACTTGGAATTCTTTGGAATTCCTAGGAATTCTCAGCTATACAAACTACCCACAATTTGAGAAAGGTGGAATTATTGGGAATTTCTGGGAATTTAAAATTTGAGACAGTTTAAATGACCTGAAGTTCACATAAATTCCAAGAAATTCTCAATACCTTGAATGTGAAGGTTTTAAGAAAAGGACTAATTTTAGAACCTTAAAACTTTGGCTCAGTAAAAGGTATGCTATACAAAATTTACCAAGAGATATAAATACCTGTATATGTTTATAACTTAAAGATCAAAAAATTTATTATTCAAACTAAATTTTAGTAAATCTTTACATTAATATGGATTTTCTCATGAAGCAGTAGTAAATTATGTTAAATGCAAGTTACCAATGTACAAAACCTGTCAGAGACCTTTTTTTCAGATTATTTTTAGTAGAAACTTCATACCTTAGACAAAAAATTCAACACCTATTTAATCTTTCTTTTTTCACGATTATTGTTGCTGTTTTTTCTTTTTTTTTTTTTTTTTGCTCTTTTTATTCTTACAAAACATTTTTTGTAAGAGTTCCAATATTCAAAGATTATCCACACACTCCACAAACATTTGGCATGCAGACAAGACAGAGGTGGTCACTGTTACCTTCAAGAAATAACACCTTTTCCTTGATTTCTTCGATTCATTTTACTTGAAACTCAAGTCTGAAAATATTTAAAAATAAGACTTGTTACTAGAGTGAAGAACAAACCGAGTTTCTTTTCATAATTAAATTTCTTAAATGTCCAGGTCACTGGATCTCCTAAAAAATATTACTTCCTTTCATTTTTGGTGCAAAATACTAGTCCTTCTTCAAATACAAATGAAAATTGCAAGTCACACTTCAATAATAACAGCTCTAAGGTTACCTATTGTTCTTCACTGAGTCAGCTATCAACAAAATTGTTTTATATTTTTCAGGTATGGTATAAAATTTAGTTTGTAATTTAAAATGAAAACCTCAGTTTTCCTTACCCATTCCTGTTTCATCCTTAATATGTGATGACCAGCCTCACTAAAGAAGAACGGATTCTGGAGATCTGGCTGTACTTCTCTAAAGACTGCCAATGTGATCCCAGACTGCCTATCCCAAACAAAACACTCAACCTCTCCAACCTTGCCACATGCAAACAAGACAACATAGCCATTCTGCTCTACCATTCTGGTGTACTCCTTAAAGTATTTAACACTTCTCCATTCTTGAGAATTCGTTGCACTTAAACTTTGCTGCCTCCAATAACTTCCATATCAATCTTCTCCATTAACTCTTGTGGTAGACCTACAGTTTCTTAGTCTCTCCAGCAATGAAGCAATTCTATGCCTTCTTTAGATTTTTAATTAACTCTAAAACATGAATGGAAAAAAGTAGATTAATATCTTTAATAACAGTGTGTTTTTCAAGCAAACTTGGCCATACATACATCATGTTACTTTAAGTTAAATATTGTTTTCAATATTGTTAAATATTGTTTTTCAAGTACTGTATTTGTTTTGTTTGGAAAACAAAATTGACCATAATAACAAGGTTACCAAATTAATGAGGTGACCATGCAGTGGGGTGGTGTAAAGGTGTTAGGTGTAAATTAACTGTCTGTTAAAAGTACCTGTCTACAGACATTTCCTGTGCCATGTGTCAAGTCCATGATGGTTCCATTCATGTCCTCAAACCCAAAGGTGGACCATGCCCACAGGGGACCCCATCCTTCAACATAGTCTGCTAGATGGGCACCAGGATTGTGAACAGTGAGACCACAATTGCCATTTCCTTTAAATGTGAGGGAAACACGCTGTTTAGGGAAGAAGATACTTTACAATAGCTTAGCTTTTTCTATTAACACATATGGACAGAGGCATAACTGTCAACCCATTAAGATAAACATCAGCAATGCTACAAAAGTAATTGATTTTTTGTTATTTCTTTTAAAAACATTTTACATGTAAACCTTGATTAAGCTTGTAAATAAATTTCATTGAATCCTAGAATTTTAACAGGGATTTTTGAATTTTTAGTATTTATTTTATATTAATAGCCTCAAGAATTTGACTTAAAACTCCCAGTAATTCCAAAACATTCCTAGAAATTCCTGAAAATTCCTAGAAATTCCTAGGAAATTTTTTACATTTACAGCTTTTCAGGGAAAGTCATTGGTGCTTTGAGTTGGAATTCCTAGGAATTCCTAGGAACTTTAAGTCCTGTTGGCTATAAACTTAGAATTTCTGGGAATTTCTCCAAGGAATTCCGAGGAATTCCAAATCCATTCCGCAAGGGATATCGGCCAAGATATCGAACCCATCTTTTTCGTGGGATAACAATCAGTCTTAGATTTCTTCCAATTTCTTCCTCTCTTCTAACAACTCTCTCTTTCTAATTTAAAAACCCTTCAACTTCATTATAATCTCTTTCACCTTCATTTCAAGCCTTGAAATGAAACAAATGAAACAACGTTGAAGCTTAGTTCAATGGCGCTCTGAAAATTCTTTTGACCAGTTTTTAAACAAGTCAAGGAACCAAGATTTCAAACCATTTAAGGGGATCTTCAACACAACCATTAATATTTGCATCTTCTACAAGCAAGTTTTCCTCTTTAGAGATATGTAACTTATATATCTCTAAAGAGGAAAACTTGCGTCGCAAATCCTCGATACGCGACGTTGCTTCATAGATTGCTCGAAGCACCTGAATTTTGAGGTTTCCTTCTTCTGACTATGTTTTCCTCCTCTTCTTTTCAGAATAATCAGCTTTCGAAGCACCCTTTTCTCTTCTTGGAAGTGTTTTCTCCATTTCGAACGTTACAACAGCGTTTTTGAACTGCTCTGTAGAAATGTCTCCAAATAAACGCCTACATGATGCAGCGCGCAGTCCATTTTATGACTGTATTGCAAAGCACCCACGGATTTGTTTCCCATCGAATGACGAGCCTTTGATAGGTTTAGATGTCCATCTCTTATTGAAGCATTCAGGTATTCCCTTTTCCCCTGAAGACATTCGAAAGACTCCAAAAATTCAACGATGAGGTGATCTAGTTCCTCACACACGTCCTCCATTTTGAAAAAAGAAACGTGGGAGATTGAGTACGAGGGAATGTCTTGTACACTTAGTCAACATTTCGTCAACTTTAGGTTGCATTCCAGTGCATTGCGGTTTGTTAGTAAACGTAAAGGAAAATCTCTCCTCATTGATCGAATGCCTTTTTGACGACTTTCGCAATCGTGATGTGACAGACTCTGAACTGTTGAACTATGTCAGTCCGAAAGTTAGTGTTAATGATTTTACTGATCATTTCACTACCCGTTAACAGCCGCCGTCAAGACAATTTAGATTGAGACAAACTAAGGCCGGCAGAGATGGAAGATAGAAATCTGCGAAGGTCGATCAGTTTGAAATTTTACAATATCCTTTTGGATACAGGCCTCCTCGCAAAGTTATATGGACTTTTGATGCAACTTTACGCCTTTTTCTGATGATCAAATGGAAATAGTGGATTCTTTCGCGAAAAAAGCGTGCTACTAAGCGGCGTGTTCACATCGATGGACTCAGCTCACAGATGTACATTAGTCCCGTATAGTACACTGCCATTCCTAGCGTGGAGTCTATTTGCTTTAAATTTGATCTGATCAGGAAGAAAGAAGCCCATGTTTATTCATTGGAAGCGTCAAACCCATTTTCGTTGGATGAATGAATGGGGGAGCACTTTCCCACTCACTTCAATTGATCTATATGTAGCTGAGAAAGAAAACTATAAGAATTCTGCAAAGGTACGATGAGATTATTTTTCGAACATAAATGAATCTTTTTTGATCCAAGAAGGGATGGAGTTTTCTCTAGTTATTACAAAGATTAACAATTTTCGCTGGCGCTGTTCTTTGCCGTCTTTCAACGCCAGTCGATGTTGTGGTAAACGGCTGAGTTCCTCTTTGCTTGAAAATATCTTACTTTTGCTCTATATTTGCGTGTTGGCTACCATTCGAAGACAAACAATTTCAAAGATTTCACTGTCATGAAGTTTGGACACAAAATTGTGATATTTATAAGACTGAATATCGGATTCCAGTGCGTGAGCTATCGAAGGTTTCCTCGATCTATGTGACGAAAAACTCGTAAGAGATGGTTTCCATGGATTTTCGCTCAAAACAAAATCATTTGCTTCAGCTATCGGTGCGGTCAGTATCGAGGTTCGGAGCTTTGGAAATTTGGATTGTTCACAGTCTTATTTGAGAAAAAAACACTTAACACAAACCAAAAAAATCAAATACTATAAAAACTAAACTGCAAAAACAAAACAAAAGAAAACCGCGGGTGAGACGCGATGGCTTCGTGGCTTCGCCCCGAAAAAAAAGACGACCAAAAACATCTTCCTTCTCCGCAACTGAAATCAAGAATACCAGTCAGAATGAATCGCTTATGCAGCGACAATGTCAGAAGTTCATCTTCAAGGGACAAAGCAGATAAAAAAGTGCGTCTGCAAAAAGATTTAGAGAGCAAAGTTCAAAGCAAGCGGTCATCGCGGATTCCGATTGCGGTGAATGGGAGGAAGACCAAAGTTGAATCAAAAGATAATCTACCCATCAATTTCAAAACTATTCAAGGAGGAAAACCTCTTGGAAGAGATTCAGGTATGTTTGTTTCTCAGCAGTTAGCCAGCATCAATTTTTTCACCGAAGTAATATATCGAAAATTGAAGACATTTTATAAAACGGTTTCAGGCGAACGGCTGGAATCACCATGTTGTCTGTATCATAACATACGCCGTAGGTAAGAAAAAGCAGCAACTGAGATAAATTGGCGGAAACCACGTTGTACAGGGTTGAAAAGACACTAATTGAATGTTCCTCGATTTAAAAAAGTCGATGAGTAAGACTTGTTTTTAACTTTAAATTCCTATTTAATGTAGAAAAAGATTACTACCATTAATTGTTTCTCGTTTGTCATCACATTTCTATTTATTTATTTGTTTATTAACTCTTTGTTCAGTTTTCCATTTCATTTATTTATCTATTTATTTATTAACATATTTTAACCTCACCTGATTAGAGATTTTCCTCAAGTTTCTAAGACTTTGATCCAGAATTAAACAATCCTTTTTCGGTTGCTAATTTCATCAGCCATCTTGTTTATTTCAAGCCACTTAGTCGATACCTGTTTGCACAAACTGGAGGCAAATTTCTGCAGTAACAAATTCATGAAATTTGTTAAAGAAATGAAAAGCTTGCACCTAATTTTTCTTAGGGGGAGCTAATTGGTAATCTTGATTTGATCACAGGTATTAAACTGCGAGAAACTCAAGGCAAACAAGACAAAAAACGGCAAGTGCCATTCCTTCAACCAAAGCTAAACAAAGCAGTTACAGGCGCGCTCAGAAAACCACGCCAATTGTCAGGCGACGTGTACCACGACAGCTTACACCAATAGAGACACAGTCGAAACAGGTAAATCTGGGAGGAAAATGTTATTTCAGTAAATACCAGAGGTGAAGTATTTCACAGTGACAACTGTCTCTTTTAGAGGGTCTGTAACTTAATTAATATCGTGATTAGCCTATGTTTCACATCTACGTGAATTAGGAATGTTAGGTTTATAAGGATATCCAGAAATATAACAGCTGCTACGAAAACAACGCATTTTGTGCTTAAATAATCAGGTTTGCAAGGATGAGAAAGAATCACGAGAAGAAAGCTCAGCTAGAGAGAAATCATCTGCAGCCAGGGCGGAAGAGGTCACGCCAAATGTCACCACAGCTAAGCGAAGCAGTTACAGGCGCGCTCAGAAAACGACGCCAATTGTCAGGCGACGTGTACCCCGACAGCTTACACCAACAGAGACACAGTCAAAACAGGTAAATCTGGGAGGAAAATGTCATTTCATCAAATACAAGAGGTGAAGTATTTCACAGTGACAACTGTCTCTTTTGGAGGGTCTGGAACTTAATTAATATCGTGATTAGCCTTTGTTTCACATCTTCGCGAATTAGGAATGTTAGGTTTATGAGGGATATCCAGAAATATAACAACTGCAACAAAAACAACGCATTTTGTGCTTAAATAATCAGGTTTGCAAGGATGAGAAAGAATCACGAGAAGAAAGCTCAGCAAGAGAGAAATCATCTGCAGCAAGGGCGGAAGAGGTCACGCCAAGTGTCACCACAGCTAAACAGAGCAGTTATAGGCGCGCTCAGAAAACGACGCCAATTGTCAGGCGACGTGTACCACGACAGCTTACACCAACAGAGACAGAGTCGAAACAGGTAAATCTGGGAGGAAAATATCATTTCAGCAAGTGTCACAGGTGAAGTATTTCACGGTGACAACTGTCTCTTTTGGAGGGCCTGGAACTTAATATCGTGATAAGCCATTGTTTTACATCTTTGCGAATTAAAGATGTTAGGTTTATGAGGAATATCCATAAATATAACAACTGCAGCAAAAACAACGCATTTTGTGCTTAAATAATCAGGTTTGCAAGGATGAGAAAGAATCACGAGAAAAATGCTCAGCAAGAGAGAAATCATCTGCAGCCAGGGCGGAAGAGGTCACGCCAGATTTTGAATGTAATGTTGCGCCTGTGCATGAGGAAAAGCTTCGTATGGGAGCCAAATCAGATTCCAGTGGTAGCGAGATTGGCGACGACTTTGAATGTTACTCAAAATCTTGCGACGAGAAAGCAATGCCCGATGTCCCCCAATGGCTAACAGAGGAGTACAAGTTAGTGTTCATATCTGCTCTTTTTATTTTCTTTTACAGTCCGTGAACTTTTGTTTCTGAATTTCATTTCTGAGGCCAGTAGGGTAAAGAATTCACATGATACAACATGTAGCTGTGCACGCTTTCTGGTAATCAAAACTTACTCCATTCAGTGAGACATCATGATTATTATATCTAATGCGTCTCAACGTATATTTGTGTGCTGGCCGCACTGCAATATACTTGTGAGGTGACTTTGTCACAATTGATTCAATATAGAAAACAGTCTCAGAACTTCCGGAGATTGAAGCAAAAGAATATGCGAATTGGGGATTGTCTGGTTTTATAATTCAAGGTTTCAGCAAACATGGAAGTGACTAGCTTTACGGTAGCAGAGTTTTCAAAGCTTAAAGGTTTTGCTAAGTTTTAAATTTCTTAAAAGGTGATTTTTGATGAGCCGTATAACATAAACTTACGAGCAATTTATCTAAGACCTCAGTGTAGTTGACCATTATGAATTAATTTTGTGCAGGGAGACAGAAGAAAAAGAGGAAAACATAAAAATCATTAAAGGTGACACCACTGTTACAAGCTCGGCACAAAATATCAGACTGGAAACAGAGTTTGGTACAAAGAACAAGATGGAAGAAAATGTTTTGAGCGAGGAAGAGTTGGACTGTGACTCTTTCACTGAGTCCAGCGGATACGAACGGAAAATGGCTGAGCTGAACGAAAAATCCAGACGGCTCAAGGCACAGTTTGCGGAGGAAAACAGACAGGCTGTCGAATCTATGAACAAGACAATGCAGGAGATCAAACAGAGCCAGGCAAGGGAAGATTTCATCACAAATGAGATTGAGGAGATACGACGGAGACGGGATGAAATAAAAGAAGACTTGAAACGCCTTGATGAGATCGGCCGAAGACGAGAGCTCGAGGATAAAAAATGGAGAGAAAAAATGGACAAGAAGAAGATGAGAGTCGCAAATAGATTGGAGAAGATAAGAGCCGAACGACGTAAATATCAAGGAGGGAAGGCTGATGAAAATGACTCAACAGAAGGATATGATCAACCGGATAAGAATTCCGGTGAAAGTCCCGAGAGTGAGAAAAGCAAAAATGTCACCATAGGAAACGAAACTGTTATAAACGAAGACGTTGGTAACGAAGTGTTTCGTGAAACTCATCAGATCATAGAGTACAAAAGTGTAAAAGAGCTGGAAAAGAAGCGGAAAGAAGTAAAGCAGTTGAAGAGACTGGAGAAGAAGGCGATTAAAAGAGAGAAGTTAGAACAAAGAGAGCGTAAGAAGATCGAAAAACAGAAGCGAAAAGTTGCTCGCAAACTTGAGAAACTCTCAGCTAAGAGTTCAAAGGTTTCGGAAGAAACTGCAGTAGTTGCTAAGTGTATAAATGAGGCCATGGAGGCTACGAATACAACGGCGAAAGAGAAAAATGATGAAACCCCGAGAGCAAATGGAATTAAACCATACGTCGACACCTCTTCAGATATCGCAGAGTCTAAGCAAGTTCAAGCACCTCACTCTTCTGGATTAATTACGAATGGAGCGGAGGTTGAGAAATTTGGAGAGACGTTGGCTGAAGTTGATAGGCTTATATTGGGACATACAGACTCTGTGGTCGACGAAACAGCGGACAGCCAACAAAGTAACCCAAAATATAGCAAGGAGGAGGTGCCTCGACAGGATAACTTTGACTGTTTCCCTGATGAAGTTGAGGGAGACATGCACACAGAGGAAAGCAGGTCTCAAGTTTCACAGAGTGCTGAGAATGAGGACAACGAGAAAAATGTCCATGAATGCGACGCCTTATCGAGATATGAGCAATCGGTAGCAGCAGTCGTAAACATAACGGAATATTTAATCCAACAAGAGTTGTCCAAGGCTTTGGAAACAATTATCCCTGTCAGTAAAAAAGAGTATACATCGCGATCGGAAGAAAAGATCTCAGAGGAAGAACCAAAGCTCCACAAACAAAATGTGGAAATGGAATTTGGGAAACTTAAAAGGGAAAATACCGAGCTCGAAATGCAGATTTGCATCATAAACGAGGAACTTGAAACGTACCGAAAGAGGATAGAAACTTTACAGGCTGACCTGGATGGGAGCAAAGCTGAGGTAAAGCGACTGCAGTCTAAGGAAGAGTACAAAGAAAGAGAGCTGGCAAATTTACAAAGTTATTTCCAGAGAAAGGAGCAAAAATGGGAAGATGCAAATGAACTCTTGGAAAAGGTTATGGTGGAAAGAGAAGAGTTATGGGATGATGTTGATTACTTGGAGGAAAGCTTGAAAGACAGTCAAGAAAGCAATGAAACTCTGACATTTGAGGTCGATGAACTGACGATAATGATACAGGAGATGAAGAGAGAGTACAGAGTGGAGCACAGTCGCTGGGGATGTGGACACCTACGTGAGGAAGTAGAGTTACTTAATGGATCTCTGGAGTTGAATGAACAGCGAACAGTTTTATTAGAGAGCCAAGTGGACGCATTTGAAGCAGAAAGAAAACAGTTAAGGGGTCATGTTGATTTCTTGGAGGAAAGCTTAAAAAACACTCAAGAACGCAATGAAGATCTGACGTTTGAGGTTGATGAGCTGAAGATAAAGATGCAGGAAATGAAAAGGGAGAATACGCAGCTTAGTCGCCATGGATGCGGACATTTACGCGAAGAAGTAGAATTACTAAACGGATCCCTGGCATTGAAGGAGCAGCGAGTAACTCAGTTGGAGAGCCAAGTGGACGCGTTTAAAGAAGAAAGCTGTAGCTTTCAAAATATTGCGCAGAGCATGGAAAGAGAAATAGAGATTCTTAAGAAGGAAAATGTGACAAAGACGACGCAGTTGCATAAGCTAAAATGCGAAACATCACAGACTATTAGTGATCTTAAAGATGACATTGTAAAGTTACAACAAGAAAAGTCTGCATTGTCATCGGAACTATCAAAGGAATCAGAAAAAGGTTACCAGTTGTCTGAGTTAAGGTGTGAAAAATCGAAAATTACAGGAGCACTTGAAGATCACATAACAAGGTTGAGGAGAGAGAACCGCACTTTGACTGCAAGACTATCAAAGGCTTACGAAAAGGATGACCAGTTGACTGAACTAAGAGAAAAAGTCCAACTTTTAGAGAATCAGTTAAAAAATGTAACTGAGGCGGCAACGGTGTCTGTGAACAGCAAAGAGAAGGAAATGGAGGAAGATTACCGCATCATAAAGAAGCAAGATGAAACGATAAAAAGTTTAATCGAAGAGATAAGGCAGGAAAGATGTGACAAGTACCGCCTCGAACTACAGTCTGAAAGAATAAGAGAACTTGAGACTCAATTACAAAGAATGGAAGACATGAAAAGAAACACAATTCACTCAGTGGATGCCTTAGTGCTTGAGGTGAAACAGGAAAGGTCAGAAAAAGACCTTCTGAGAAAAAGAGCCATGGAAGCAGAAGAGGTTGGTTCTTATAGAGAGAAAGAGCTTGAAAAGAGAATTGAACTTCTTGAGAATCATTTACATGAAAAAGATGAGATGACAAACGTCACTCTTGCGTCTCTAAAAAACAACGAAAGTTCACTACAGGAAGCTAAAGCCACTATCGATATGCTCACAGAACAACTGGAACGCGAAAAGTCGGAAAAAGAGGCTCTGAAAAGGGCTGTCGAGGTGTTTGAGTGCAACTCTCAAAACGAAAAAAGATTGACCGAGGACATCGAAAAACTTGAGAAGCAATTGAAAGAGATGAATGACCTACGAGAGGAGACTCTTATATCTCTTAAAGAGAAAGAATGGTCACTGCAGGAGGCTCATGACGAGATCAATGAGTTAACTCAACAAATAGCACACAAAAAGTCGAACAAAAAGTTTTTCAAGCGGAAGGCTAAGGCTAGAAAGGGTAAAGCTAATGGACTGAATCTCATTCAAAAAGGAACAAAACGATATACACAGGAGAGGGGTTGGTTTATAGCAGGCGTGGGAAAACGGCTGAAGAACCTGGTACAAAGACCAAGAGGAGTGTCCGCATCGAGCTTGGTAATGAAAAAGAAGGAAGCCTATGCAGAGCGAGTGTTAGACAAATTAAGGGATGATTTGAATGAAAAAGGAGAAGTCATTCAAGACTTAAGGAGTAATTTCAAAGACAGTGCTAAGGAATTGTCGTCCATGCGACGTCAGCTTGAAGATATTCAATGCCAAAATGCCGAGCTCATACAGTGTCTTGGACACAAGGAGGAGGATCTTCAAAAGACGCAAAGATACTTAAAAGAAAACGAAGCCAGCCTTGATGACGCAAATGAAACCCTGCGTTTGAAATGCACGCTTCTCAAAACAATGGAGGCCAAATTATGTCTGACGAAGAAAGAGATTGAAGAATTGACACAAGTGAACAAAGAGAAAGGCTTAGAGATAACTCGCATTGAGACAACCCTTACAGAAGTGAAAAAAGAGTTAGATATTGCCGCATCCATTATCGAGAAGCAAAATGAACGTTGTGCTAACCTTAGGACTTATGCTATGAGAAAGACCCGAGATGCGGGTAAGATGCAAGACGAATTGAAACGCTTCTCAACTCAACTTGAAAATAGCAGGGACGAGAACGCAAACCTACACAGAGCACTGTTAGCTGCTACAGCGCGTCTTACAAGGGAGAAGCATAGGCAGTTCAGCGGGACTGAGTTACCGAAAGATGGGCACGAAAGGAAGTCCTCTGAGTCATCATGTGAGGTGAGATATTTCCCTCCCTAAGCGCAGACGCAAGAGCGATCTTGAAGCACGAGACGATGTACACGAAGAGTACACCATAAGATCCAATTGTCAGCTTTCACTTTCTGCTCTTTTTGGAATTAATTAATGTGCCGTAATTTTGACATGCATATTTTTAAACGTTTAATTCATTTTGTTTTCGTATCATCCATAGGAAAGCACCTCTAGCATCCTGAAAGCCAGGAGACACATAGATGCGTACAAAATAACATTTTTGGAAGACGAGAGTAATGTGGCAGCCACTAGTCAGGGAGACGCTGAAAATAAATGGTCAGTAATATACATTTTTTTTGTTACTAGGATATGTAACAATCATACCATTAGTGGATTTTGGATATGAGATGGTAAATAGCCAACGAAATTCGTAGCGCCGAGTTGAGTATCACTAGTCTCATATCCAACAAGCGTCTGATGAGATTATTGTTAATTATTCAATTACATTAAATCCCGAACGTTTGGATATTTGGAGCTTTATTCAGCTCTGCGCAATGTATTTCCATGTAAAGTGACTCGGAATATGAGCTAATAACCGGAGTTGAACGAACCAATCAAAACGTTAGAAATGCAATATTCGGGGTTGAAAATTTAATGATATGATATGGCTTTAGTTAAAGCTGCAACCCTCGTCACAACTGTTGTAGAATGTATAATTTTTGCCGCATAAAAGAGGCTGAGTAGTGATAGGAGGGTTGGTGGTGAATCAAATCTAGACGAAGGTTTTTTGCCAGTGAAAACAAACCCTTTTGGCCCAAAATTTTTATACTAGGTTATTCTATGGAAATTATAAAATTTGAAAGATAGATCTAGGATCCAATGATTACCGGCCGCGTAGTTACCTCTCATAGTGCATAATCTTCTGTGGTATTTCTATACTTTCTCGAACTTCCCTCTGTCATCGGATAATTTAGAAATGAAATTGTCTACTACCTTTAATTGCAGGTTGTATACTTCTAGATTGGACGAACTTCAGTTTGAAACACGGAGAGAACAACATTTTAACGGCGCCAGTACTATCGCTGAGGTTGACCATACTATGCAGAACTTCTCAACACACGGAGCACCTAATTCAGTTTCGACACTTCTGTGTAATGGTTAATGTTTTGCAGGAGAAGTTCCGATGCAACAAATTGGCAAACTGAGCCAAGTGCGATGACATAAGACATATTTTTATCATTGAAAATTTTGGATGCAGTTGAGTTAATCTTGAATTTTATTTTAGAGAGGGTATCCTTCTTACCTTCAAGAAAGCATTCGTGCCCTGACGTTATATTAAGTGTAAATACATTAAAATACTCTAAAAAGATGTTCATTTTTGTTCTGTGTTAGGGAAGGGGACAGTACATAATAAGAAAAGGAGCAATCTTCTTATTACAGCCACCCTAATCATTCTGTTTATGAACATGACAATTTCGACATTGCTGATTGTAACAGTGTGCGCTTGCAAAACATGAACCTAGCAATCATTCTGTTTAGAGGGATATATAAAGGCTTAGAATTTTATTTGTCCCATGATCTTACAAAACGAACAGCACCGCTCAAGTTAATGATGTTGAAGCCCAAAAATATTCATGTTCCTTGTTCTATTAACTTGGATTTATTGCCTTTTGATTAATCGAGAGAGAATCAGATAGCTTAAGAGTGGAAATCATGTTCAAGTTTTTAAGTCTGCCTTGGTTGAGAAGTGTTTCGCCACTGTCTATTTTTTACGCTCCTTTCCATTTTGGTCAAGCTACCATTACAGATTTCTAACCCTATCGCTAAATCGAGGAGTACTGGGTCAAGTTCCTTCGATCTGCCATCTTGCAAATTTCGGGGATATGACAAAACAGCGACGCCCCGGTGAACTGACTCCCCCTGATAATTCCTTACTGATCCCTTCACTGACCCTCTCTTAGATTCGCTGGTAGTGATAACGAAATGAAAACTTGATACCTTTATTCTATTAGAATTTTTACCAAGTAATAAAATGGTTGACCCTTGTTGAAATTGAGTGTGACCTGGGCACTACTAATTTACCGGAAAACATCCGGTTTGTTGTATTTCTGTGTCATAAGGTTTTCAATAGGTGTCTGTCAAAAATGCACACGCATGTTTCACAAGGAAAAAATCTCTTTGTTCGTGGGAGCGGATGACAAATTTGATACTGTCGCATTTGCCACTCATTTTATCATGAAAGAGCTGTAATATAAGAAACGAAACGTGTTGAAACGATCATCTTCCACCATCTTTACGAGCGTAGGTTTTCGTTTCTTCGTAAGGGAAAGATTTCCGTGTCAACCCATAATATTCTAAAACAGAGCCTACGCCATTTAAGTGACCAGTCAGCATTCATTACCTTCGGGGGGGGGGGGGGGGGGGTGGGTGGTGGGGGGGGGAGGATTTGGTGGGATCGCGGGGGGGAACGGAAGGGAGATCAGTAGTTGCCAACAGATAGTCAACTCCCCAACCGAAAAGAAAAACAGAACAAAACAAAAAAAACTTAAAAGAGTCAAAGGAAAAAAATAACCCTAATAATCAGTTTTAAAGTTATGGATAGTTACACTGAAAGTTTTAGAAGTCCATTCGTCAGTTTTTTTTTCTGAAAATTCGCCAGCACCCACCCTGGATGGAAAGGACGCTGCGAGTGTAAAGTATGTTGCCGAAGAATAGAATTCAATGGACTGGCCACAGCTGAACCCAGAACTTTCTACCCTGAACGGCAGACTGTTCATTACTGGTATGAAATATCCACTCTCAGCGGGTGATTATTGAGCTGAATTATTTGATCGACCAACGACGGTTTTGTACGTGCACAGGGGCAGATCCTGGATAGTAAGATGAAATCGCAACATCACTCCATACCAGGAGAACATTAACAAATAGTAAAAAAGAAACTCATCTTAAAAAATAAAAAAGAAAAACCTTTAATTAAAAAGGAGAGAGGACGAAGATTATTTCTCGGGAAAGGTGGTTGTAGAGAAAATTGCGGAGAAATGTACGTCGAAGCTTTTACTGAGTCGGTGTTATGGAAGAATGAGTATTTATTTTTTATACATAACTCACCTAATTTACACTTAAAAGGCAGGCTTATTGAATGGATTTTTTTTTTAAACAAAGCTAAGAGTTGACGGCCGTCGCGTCACACCCACACCAAACAAACAGAAATAGACAAGCAACAGATGGTGGCGTGCTTCGGCTCCCAGTTCTTGAGAATTATCAGTTTAGCAATTATATTTACGAATTTCCAAAAGTTTTTATCTAAAAAGACATTAATTTGAGAACTTTAAATAATTCGGCTTCAGAATTGTCGACCACCTATCAGCAAAGAGATCTATATTAGAAAACATGCTATTTTTAGGACGAAAAGAAATTTGCATTTTAATTGAATGTGAGTTGCCTCCTTCATAATAAAAAGTCAAATTTCTGCACATCGATACAACGAAAGACATGAAACGTTTTTAAACCTCCTCGTTGGAGTCAATTGGAATCAGCCTACGGAATTCAGATTCAAGGTAACACCCAGCATGGCCTAAGTTTTTACTCAAATCTCGAGTACAAGAGCTGGAAATAATGTACAAACAAAATCTGACCGTGAGTGACATGCATTCAGTACGCTTCTAGCAATTTGTCATTTCGGGTAGTTCGAGGTCCTGAGAGAGTTTCCAAAACATGTTATAATGCGGCAAGGAAGCTCGTTAATTTTTCCGTCGTAAGCTTAAAGGAAGAAAACGATAGAAACGCGGGTGAAGCAAAACAGAACATAGAAAACAATTGCGTTCTTTTAATCTAACTTAAAACAAAAAAAAATAAATAAGAAAAGAATCGAACATGCGAGAAAAAAAAGACATCAAAAGAACACTTTTTTTTGTTCCTTTTTACTTTTTTTGAGCATTTCTTTGGAAATTTTAACTTAGTTTCAGAAGATTATTTGGATTTCGACGTATTTCACGCGCATGAAACGCAGAGAACATCTGTAGGATTGGTTTTCTTGTTTTTACTCATGCTCCTTTATTTATTAGTTTCCTTTGAAGGTAACTTTGTATTTTACTCCCAAAAGAGACAGTTTTGGTTATGTTAGAAAAAGGACTGAATCGAAATTGATATATTCGATCGTTCGTGAACAAAGATTACATCTCGTAACTTCACGGCCATATGGCCGAAACGTTTGTAGCTAGAGTAATTAGTTCGAACATAAACAGTTTTAAATTCATTTCCAAATATTTCAAGGATTTTAATATCTCGTAGCTTCACCGCCATATGGCCAAAACGTTTGTAGCTAGTGTAATTAGTTCGAACAGAAAAGGTTTTAAATTCATTTTTTACGATGTTGGAACAAAGAATTAACCTTCGTCCCCTAGGTTGTGGAAAAAACTTATGGCTAGAAAGCATTATTGTCTCTTAACACTGTTGAGAAAACTTATGGCTAGAAAGCATTATTATCTGTTAACAGATTAATGCACTATACGTGGCTCTTTAATGATCCTGCCTCAAGTTTTCTGTCACTCAGAAGAAGACAGAAAACAGATGGTCTTTGATTCAAACGTTTCCTTTTGCACTTTTTGTCAACCCCACACGCGTTACAGATGAATGAAACCCCTTTCCTTGAGCCTTTGAGTCTCGAAGTTCACACCGACTTGAATCAGTTTGTCTGAAGGGGGTGTTCTCTAACTGATTCAAATTTTCCTTCTGTGTCCGACATCACACTCATGGTAAGCATGAATACCAAATAAGCCCAAAAGCTTAAAAGTCTGTCATAAAAGTTTGTATGATAATCTGTATCTGGCTTTCTTATTTTTATTCATGCACCTTCATTTATTAGTATCACCCGACATCAAGATTATGGCCTCTGTGATGAATTTTAACGTGCAAGCCGTCGTTCTTTTTTGTTTGCTCAAATTTTTATCTACAATCAGCACAGGTAATGCATTTTTGTTGTAAATAATTAATTTTTCAAAAAAATACTCTTTATTCAAAATAAATTCCTTTTATTCCGAGAATTTACCTTAGAACTCTTCTAGTTGATATTCTTTTTTCAAGAGCGTGTTTCAAACATCAAATTAGATCATTTTCACATTAAGTCTATCTCAGCGCCGGCCCTATTTGGACATGTTGGTGTAATTAGTAATTCCTAGAGGATATCAACTCTTTTCATATGCAAATAGTTTTTTTTCCGATGAATTAACACAGCTGCTCATCATGTGATTGAAAACATCCAACACACGTGCGCATGATTTGGGAGAACGAAGAATAAAGTTTCAGTTATAAAGTTAAAGTTACTCTTAAAATTTCCCGCTTGATGTTTTTTTTTATGCCTAATCAGCCTCTACAAATATTTACAAGACCACTTCTTTCGGATCAAAGTTAGTATCTGAGAAATTGTGCACCCACTCCTCCCCTAAACCAACATTGGCACTAATTTGTTATCAGTTGACTGTCGTTAGTTAGGTAAGGGGAGGGGTAGGTGCGCTGTTACTCAGATTCTGACGTTGGTTTCTGTTTTCCACTGCTCATGAGTCTTTCACAAGTGCGTTCGACCTAATTCTGTTTCTGTATTCCTTATAGACACTAAAAGTCTTGTGAATAAGCATCTCATACCAACATATGAAATAACATTCTTTATAATTTTATCACTATCACTCAATTTTTTTAGTAAGCCAAGGCAACTGTTTACCTGGATGGCACGAAATCGATCGGTCTTGCTTTAAGATCGATTCATTTTATAGAAACGCCTCCAAAGATAAAGATCAGGGATACGACGTCTTAAATTCAGCACGTGTTAAGTGCCTTGAGACGGGTTCGGACCTCGCTATACCTCACAGTCCCTCCCTTCTTGAAGAATTGAGGGAGATTATTGGGACTCATCCAAAACCACATCTGCTTGGAGCTCACGACAGTTTTCGCTTGGACTTGAAATGGTCCAATGGTGCCCGAGTAAATCCTGCCATTTGGGGGCGTGGAAAACCCAACATTACTTTTGGGAACTGTGTTACGGCTAGTTTTTCCCCTGACTTGTGTGGGTGGCGGCTGAAGACTACGAAATGCGATTCGCTGAGAGGATTTATCTGTGAAACTTTAACAGGTACCGAATTTTCTCGTATAAGCCGCAGTCCTTTCTGGTTTTGATTTTTCGAATCAGCTCCTTTATAAGGAAGGGGGTTTAATTTTAGGCCATCCTCTTTGCAACTTTTTATGTATCACATATCCATTATCTTTTGAAATCTTATAGCTAAGAGCTCTTGCGCAGCGGGTTTTTCCCACATCGATGGCCACTGTTACAAGATTTACCACAGAGCTCGTTCCAATTGGACGGACGCCTCAAAGAACTGCTCAAGAGGCGGTTATCGCTTAGCTACGGTTAATACCAGTGCACAACACCACAGATTATCCGATCTACTGGGAAATCTTGCTCTGGACCTTGAAAAAAGAGAGTTTTACTTGGATCGAGTTTCGACAGATCTGGATTCTTGGACGTGGATGGATGGATCGCCTATTGATCCTAATCTCTGGAAATCAGGTTATCCAAAACTGAATCAGACGAAAACATGCGTGCATCTTGATGGAGATGAAGCTGCGCTTAGTAACCTACCATGCGACGGGTATGATCCAGTTGGTGTCATATGTCAAAACCAACATGGTAAGTCGATTTTAGTAATATTTTAAAACGATTTAAGTGTAATTCATTAAACTCTTACTTGCTGTTTCCAATGTAAGAATTAGTGAGTACCAGCAGACTGTGACCGAGTAAAGCCATAGTTATTTGATTGATTGATCGGTGATGGCGATGGACGAATGGGGGTATGGGTAAAAGGTATTGAATACTTATACGTCATAACCTACCCTATGTTACGGACGTGATGAACGGAACGTTTGACAAACGATGTTAAATAGCTACTTTTAGAGAACACGACTCGTTTTAATGGCAAACTTCTCTGTTTTAAGAACTAAATTAGTCTTCATTTATTTCATGTCTCTGAGTTAAATACTTGTCACTTCATGTTTCTGTTACCTATTTTTCCGTCAATTTTATTCTTCCTTATTTTTTCCTCAAATTACTTACTAAGTCTCCTTATTTGAGTCAAAAGAAAATTCGCAGCTCTTATGACGTTGGTATGCAGTGGTGTGTATTGATATAAAGTAAGTGATCCCCCCCATAAAGCTCTATAATATTCTTATGCCACCCTTCTCCCCCCCCTCATTGGTGGTTAATCGGCAGTAAATGTTCCATATTACCCTCCTTATACTCTGTTGGCGACGACCAACGCCCTCTATTCCCCCCTGAAAACCATGAGATCCTCCCCCCCCAAAAAAAAATTCTCTGATAAATAATCATTGGTCCACCACTGTTAACGAACCTTCTTTCAACTCACATGTCAATGTAGGCTTCACAACTGCAGCCAACGATCCCTCCACTATCAATAACAACATCGCATCTTGCTTCTCTTCCAATGAGGTACTTATGAACTCTTATTATCATAATTATACCATTCGACCCTCAGCATTAAAAATTGGAAGACACCATTTCAGTTCGTTAAGTTATGACGCTTCCGATTTTGAGTAATTAGGTCTGCTATCATATAAACAACACCTACACCTACGCTGTTTGCTGGATAGCGGAAAGCCGATGACCAAATTTCAGATCTATAAAATACAACCAAATGGATTAGAAAGCTATTTTCCTCTAGACTTTCGCCGATATTTCTTCAATTGTTCAACTGACGATTTCGTGGCAAGATGTGGAGAAATTGGGTGCACCAGTTATTTTTCTGTGATCTATCACCTATTGATCCTTGACACAGCAATATCGATATTTCCGCTAAGATTTATCTTAATTAAAAATGATCTTTATTTCAATTGTAGGAGTTCAATCCTTGGATAAACATTTCCCTACCTGGGGATCTGCATATTTACAAAGTAAAGGTCAACGAGAGTCATTTTCATACGAGTAGCGAACTGTACCAGGTTCAAGTTTTGACACATAATTGGACAGTGTGGTGTCACAGAAATGAAAAACGTGCAGGATTAGTGTTTGATTGTGTTCCCCCTGTGAAGGGCGTGGCCGTCCAAGTGCGCAAAAAAGGGAGCTCTAAACTTACTGTTTGCGAACTATACACTTCTGGACTAGGTAAGCCTAAAAACAATCTCATATGAATCGCGAGAAGCCTTTGAAACAGATGTTCAGTCGTCCCAATAGATTAAAATAGATAATTATGTACCAAACCTGTAAATAGTGCTTTTTGCGTGCTTTTGCGCGCGCTGATCGGCTAGTTCAGAAGAGATTAGCGAGTACCATATTCACCCACGAGCAGTTGAAGGGACAAAATCGCTCGTCAAGATTTTAATTTCCGACCACTGTGTGTCTGTGTGGTATATACTAAAACAGTGTGTCTGTGTGGTATATACTAAAACAAGTACTCATTTCCATTTTGGAGAGTAACTGTTAGTTAAAATTAATAAAGTAATTATTTAGTCTGAACGATTTTCGTTTCGCTTTACAGGCTCCAAATCTGATGGAAATGGAGTAATGAGAGAGTTTTGGAATATCAGCAATCTGGATATCTACGACTTAAATGAAATAGACGAAGAGACTGTGAGCGGATGGCATGTCATTAAAAGTCTTAACGCACCGTCCAAGTTTGGTTTTGGCTACGGACAGAAATTAACTACATATTTGCAGGTAACCATCAGTTGAGCAAAAGCAAAAGGAGAGGCACACAAATAGGTCATTCACCACTTGAAAGCGCTTAATCGCTCGATCATTTGTTTATAGTCTGTTACTAAATCAGCAGTCAGTCAGTCATCAGTCAGTCAGTCAGGAAGACATTCGGTGAGCGAGTCGGTGAGTCGTTTAGTCAGTGAAATAGAGATTCAATTATTCAGTCAGTCGGAGAAAAAGTCAGTCCCTGATTCACTTGATGAATTGGTCAAGGTGTCAGTGATTCAGTCAGCGATAGTTGTTGAGTCAGTCGTGAGCAGTTTGTCGGACAGTGAGTCGGTCAGTGAATCGGTCAATTTATCTGTCCGTGTGTCAGTCAGTGTATCAATCACTAAATCATTCAATAGTTCAGTTAGTCAGTAGGTCAGTCATCTGGTAATTCAGGTAGTAATTCAGTCGTTTAGTGAAGGTATTCAATAAATATGTCACCTACCACGAAATTTATTTACACTCGTCAGGCCTAGACATCACTTTTACGTGAGGTTTATTATTTCAATTTCTTAACAGATAAATCGAAGTGGAAACTTTACTTTTTATATGACTTGCGCTGAAAGATGTGAGCTATGGCTTGTAACAGTGAACGACTTAGACCCGAGCGCAGATTTAGACAAAAATATTCTGGTGCAGTTAAACGAGTCAACTCAAGGCTGGCACAGGTGAAACAGACAACTTCCTAAAAATTACGTAACACCTAGGGTCCATAGTTTCAACACCTAACTTTGTGATCAGAAGTGATGAAAACAAACCAATTCGAGACTGCAAAATTTGAAGAAGTTTCGGTCCTTACTTTTTCATCCTGATTTCATAGAAATGACCAAACATAACAAAAATTGATAAATAAATAAAAACATCGTCACACCCTTTACCGAGAAATTTCCTTTCTGTTAACTTCCCCAGGCCGAATTCGATAAATCTGTTGAGATCATTTCTGAATACGGCTGCTTAACATCAAAAATAGTTTGCAGTTTGGCTACTGCCTAGTTTGAACATAAAAGGCTCTCGGATTAAGCATCGTAAAAGTAAAAGTAATGTTATCACAGCAGACTATCACAAAAACAAGTGGAGCTAAAGATAATTCAGAGTAAAGACATTAAAATCGAGGAGCAGAAAAACACAAGTAACCAAGCTGTCACTGGTTTGAGAATTTTAATGGCTGATCAGAAAGTAATTCAACTTTCTTGAATAATCACTGAGTGAACAAAGGTTAAGAAAGGCGAAAAAAACATTTAAATCCTGGATTACTTTAAAGAATCAATTGAATATTAATTTTAGAGGAATGGGGACTGATTTAAGTTTTTATTTTTCATTACTTCCTAATAGCCGGCCAATCGATCAAAGTTCTGGTGTCAGGTCTCTCTCTGAGTGCTATTTTTACAGAATGGAAGTTTTCACGACCAACAATTTTTCCAGCCATGATCATTTGGCTGTCGGAGTGAAGTTTCCCAACGGAACAGAACAAAAACCGATGTCTGGCAACAACTTGTACTGGTTAAAACCAGGTATAAACCTTAAATTTACATTTTTGACTCTTTTTTGAAATGCGTAACTCTTGAATTTATGATTTCAGTCTACTTCAGCAAATCATCTCGACAGTCATGAGTAATCTTAGCCTAACAAGACTCTAATCAATTTTTCTTTGAACTTTCTCAGGAGAAACTACTTTAGAAATACAGCTAAGCGATCCAAGTGAGAACGCCACTGTAGAAGTTGGTTCTAGCCTCAGCGTCGCTGGTTAGTTAGTTGTTGTTATTGCAAGCTTAATCGTTATAATTTCCGTTACCATTATCGTTATTGTAATTGTAATAATCTTCATCATTATCGTTGTCGTTACGTCCCCGTCCCCGTCAACGTTTTCTTACTCGTCACCGTCACGATCATTACTACCGTGACCGTTACCGTTACCGTTACCGTTACCGTTATCTTAATCGGCACCGTCACAATCACCGTCACCGTAACTGCTATCGTTATCGTTACTGTTTTCGCTGATGTTATTGTTAGTGTCGTCGTCATCCCGATCTTCGTCGTTGCCGCTGCTTCTCTCATGAACAGTGACATAAAGCAGTCACAACGGTAACGTCAAGGACATCTTCGATCGAAAAAATGAATTAACATTTTATGCGGACTTTCACGAAAGACTCCGTGACATTACTCTCTCTAACGGGGCTAGACCTCCAATTCATTATGGCACACGAAAGCAGGGTGAGTTCGAAATAAAAGCTGGATTAATTTTCTCTTTGGGTTACCGTTTCCAGGTAACTGAGACCTAATTGTTACTTTCACTCAACTGTTTTATAAAGAGCGGCTAGGAAATATACAAAGTTTTCTCAAAATACACGTGTAAAAAGCTGTTGTTCTCTTTTCGGAATTTTTTAGTTTTTTCTTTTCTTGTTACGGTGGCCGTGATGATTTTCTTTAAGTCTGCAAGTTTATTTTTAACCATACATTCTCAGGGTGTTCGTCAAATAATAGCCTTATTCTTGTGAGTTAGAAACCTTTATCAAGCTAATCAATGCAATTTGATAACTTGTATTTCCATTGTTTTTATACCTAAGGTTCTTACAAATACTGTTGCCGAGGAGTTTTCTGTCCGAGTTGTAAGCTGGATCTCGGTTTGCATTTGCTTAATAAAACCTTTCCCTTAAATTCTTCATTGTCGATGACGTGCAAAGAAATATCATTCCAAGTTGAGACGGAAGTGGCTGTTAATCCCGGAGTCTACGTTGTTCTAGTAAGCAATAGTATCACTCTCAAATAATGAACTTTGAAATTAGTAACTGTGGATAGAATTTGATTCATGGAGAAAGAGGGAGGCAGAGAGAGAGAAGGGGGGGGGGAGAAAGAGAGAGGGGGGGTAGGGTGGGGGAAAGAAAACGGATATGTCACCGCACTGGTGGCAGCTTGATGCTCTATGCATTAGTTGAATTTAACTCTTATTTGTTAATCCGGATTGACAGGCCAACTACTCTCTGGTAGAGCACGGCGGAAAACTGTCACCCATGCAAAAAAATTTGACAAATGTTACTGTTCAAGGTATGATATGATTTATTTTGGTAATCTCATGAAAAAGTCCTCCCCACCGTCTTCGCTGCAGGGTTAGCTATCCGCAATTAAACGCACTTATGTACCAAGTTATTTTAAAAGAGGAAATGAAAAAACATGAAAAGTGAAGTGGGAAAGGGAAAGATAAATGAAGTAGAAAATGGCGCAAAATTAAACTGAATGCTTGCTTCTAATAAATCTACCAGATAAGTAAGTTTTTTTGTACGAGAACTTCGGCTTTTAAAGAGAATGGTGAGTGCATTCCCGTGTTAGTGTGAGGTGTGTCGGTTGAAAGGAGCCCTTGATCCGATTTGAATAGTTTTGCGTAGCCTATGATACAGAGGACCACTTCATCACTCTAACTAACTAAGTTATGGATAATATTAGGTAACCATACGTATGTTACTGTACTGACTGATTTTTCATCTCTTGTTCGTTATCTTTGTCATATTTCCCCCTGTCTTATAGCTGCCGTGTTGCAAAACTGCACCTCACCCAGTAACTTTTGCAAGTGGAACACAAGTGCAATTACAGGGAGCAAATGGAACGGGGGAGGTATTTCATCATCAAATTTCAATTCCTTTTGGTTAAAATGACTGAAATCGAGTAGAGAGTTGTAAAGAAGGCAAAATTTGTTATTGAAAAAACGCCGACGCTTTTTTGAAAAGATGATTATTAGAAATGAGGGAAAAAATAAAAAAAATACTGGTGAAGCTATTTCATTTTCTCTTAAGTTATTTGCAGATAACTTTGAGAAAGGACAGTTGTTGGCAGATGCGTCTGCAAAGCTCTATTAGAGGTTGAATCAAAGCAAAGTTTTGTATGATGAAACTTAACTTTAAAGGAAACTTTACCAAGGAATAATTTTTAACAATTGTTTTTTTTAACAGTGTTCAGTATCGGTGGAAAAAAAATTTGGCTGCAAAGCGCTATATTACCATGGAAAGAAGTGTATTCCAAAGTACCAACATGTCTCCAATTCAAATACAATACTTCATCAAGCAACAGCTCCTTTTTTTGTTTAAAAGTATCTGTGGTACAACCAAACGGGAAGAAATTTCCAAAGTGGTCGATAAAAGATGAGCAAGGAAACAAGTCAACATTCGCTCAAGTTTCTTGGAAATCAGAGCAAAACATCACGGTAAAAAGAATTCATTTTTCGCTGAATATCATAGGCTCTTCAATACTTGAGAATTGATTCATTTAACAAATTCAGTTTAGGGCGTTAAAATCTTTTCATTCCCCAATACGTGGATAACGTAGAAGTCTTTATGATCTGTTTGAATACATATTCATGAAACCTGATGAAGAGAATTTGTTGAACAATCACTAGGTTTGTTTAAGGAACATTCGCTTTATTTTCATGACCTCAATGTCTGATTAAACAGCGATACCGTGAGAAGAAATTAGATAATAGTCTCTCTTAGAGGATATGGACTTGAGGGCTCAGTATGTTCGATCACCTGTAAAAGATTTACTTATGATAAGTCCGACCACACTCTGAGAAATGCAGATGAAAAGATCGGCCGTGCCTGACAAATTGAATGTAAAGAAAGATGTTACTTCATTTTGTTACAATCTCAGCCCAAAAAGTAGAAAAAGTAGAATCCCCCACGCGAAATCGAACCTCAGACCGTCAGGATCTGCGCTCCAGCGCTATACCACCAAGTCACAGATAACTCTATTTAAAAACGAAGCCATCACTCGGTTTGTGTCGAACAAGCGTCCTCCATATTGCTATGATCAGCTTGGTCGAAAGCATCGTGTGAGTAAATAATTGTAAGGCTACTTTACAACTTAGATCTTGCGGTTCATTTCAAACATTTTTTTTAATTCATAGATTCTATTTGAAGGCAAGACAGGTACAAGGGGACGGATGACGATATATGATGTAATAATAAAAACATTGGAGTGCGAGCTACAACCTATGAATGCAGCATTAGGTGGGTAATGTACAGAGAACAGGACAATCATTGACTCAATTAAAATCCTGAATATTTGCAGGCATTAATCGCAGGTTACCTGTTAGCTTTTTTCTACACTTTTATGTTTCGGTGAATGGGGTACAGAGGGGGATGGAAAAACGAGTGAAGCTAGGTGGAAAATTAATTTCACTTTAAATACATTCTGCTGTGAAAGGTACGTTAGTTGTACGCTGTAGTTGATAGATAAAGAAATGATGAATTGTCTCATAAAAAAAATCCGTTACAACAGATAATGAAGATCGGTCTGCTTCAAGGACAGCGGGCTGAAACGCACCATTAGCAGCTAACCAATATAAACAACATGCTTCTTGAAGCGACGCGCTCTCGCTAATAGAACTCATCGCTAGCGGTGTTGCAGTTGAAATGTTGCAGCGGAGTATACATCATATTTTATAAGGACCAAGTGAAGTTTTGTCCCTTTGGCATCACTATTCATGCAATCTGTAAAAACAAGAACAACTTTTAACATATTTTAGTTCGTTTGCCTCCAAGATAACATTCCACCTCGCTATACTTGTTTTAGGAGGGACGCACTGTAACAATAAATTACGACAAGTCAAGTTTTGTAATGAACGTTTTGACGCTGAGAAACTCTGTGATGGAACCGAAGACCGTTCAGATGGTAGTGATGAGTTAAAGCATTGCAGTAAGTGCACATAATTTTGAAATAAAGTAGCAAAAATTACAAAGGTGTGTATCGTGATTAACGCCCTGTGTTTGTGGACGACGTTTAAGACTTGAGTCAAAATTCCCAAATCATCCTTTTTGGTATCCTTTGGTCTCTTTTCCGTGCCCTGCATCACCAAGTTATTCATGTGACTTCAACTGTACGCTGGTCAGCTGTCGTGTCCCATTTCTACCCTAAAACCTGCTACTGTCTTTGCACTTCTTTTTGATTTTAACTCACATTGGTTTGTTCCCCTTCTTCTTCATCCGTAACCATTGATGCTCCTTTTTGGATCCCATTTTCCTAGTCGCTTCAAACATTTGTCACGGAGCCAAAGCAAGTTTCAAACTTTCCCAAGAAATAGCGGTGTTTCGACGTGTTTTCCGTAGCCAAAGAATCTATCAATTACGGAGAATCTTCCTGATGAAAATATTTGTCATCACATCGCGTAGAATGCTTGGACATCATTAATTATTCATCAGCACTGAAGCGGGAGATATGAATGCACTCGCGCCTTGAAAAGCCCATAATTAGAGAAGAAAGGGCCGAAACTAGCTCAGCAGCGTTAATAAAATTCGGTTTTTCAATTTCCAGAGGCAAAAATTGAGAAACCCAAGAGCGGGTTTTTGAAGAGGGAGGGTTAATCCTTAATTTAAGCTTAAAAAGGGGAAGTTTGAGAACGTATAAGGACTATTCCTGAGCCTTTGAAAATGACAAAAAAACGGACATTTTTAGTATGAAGGACGATTTCAAAATCGATTTTTCAAAAACTCAAACCGGCTTCTAAAAACCCAAGAGCGGGAAATAGAAGATGGATCTTTCGTGAAACAGAATCCGTTTTAACTTGGGAAATTGGTGAACGGCAACCACTATTCCTCGCAGTTTTAAAATTTGTAGTAATATTATATAATGGCAATATTTATTTCCCAGACTGAACTTGTCATAAGATGTCTTTGGGCAATTATAAAAACTTAGAAATTAAACAGGCTCGTAAATCTCTTCGGGACGATAGCAGTTTCCCAACCAACAATGTACTAATACGTACTCTTGATTACACAGATTCAAGCGAGAACAAAAAATTCCAGTGTGTGGACGGAAGTTTCATTCCGTGGTCAGAAACTTGTCAGGACTCCAATGGTTGTCAGGATAAAACTCACAAGCCATCAATTTGCGGTGAGTAAGATTTCGAGTATCTTCGCCCTCTTCCCATAATGTCATATTTGCATCATATTTGCATCACAATATAGTTTTTTGGGGGTTCTAAATGTTCCCCGCTGTCCAGAATATTTCCCCTCTGAGAACATTTTTATCTGTATGTTAAGTTATCAAATCTTTTCGCTTTTCCATGGTAAAAGGCAATTAACTTTTTGTTAAAAGCGGAGCTCGATTTTATCAAACGTTCTGTAGCATACCAAATTTTCAAAACGGTTTCCACGCTTCGGATATTTGTTTGTGACTTGCTTTTAATTTAGCCACCGAATGTCCGAATGGCTAAGGTAATGGACTTGCGAGTCCTAGGTCATGCATGCAACTGCAAACTGGTTTACTTAGACAATCAACACTAATAACTTGTACCGACGCTGAAGAATCATTATTCTTAAACAATCCTCCACAGAGTCTTTCAGGTGCCCACTCAACAACTTGAGCTGCGGGCATCAGCCACAACAAGGTAATGAATCAAATTTTTTGCTCTCGTTTTTCATTACTAAGATTTACACGTACAGTTACCACTGGTATGCAGCTATCTTTTATTTCATACAGCGGTGCAATCGACTACACTAACAACTGTCAAATTTCCACCAATAACCCTGAAATCGTGACTGATAAGATCTTTCAAAACAATAGGGATAGAAACAAGGATTTGCGTTCGACCCGATTGCTACTGACTCTTAAGTATAAAGGGCTCTCACTATTTCTATCAAAGATTATGGATTCCCATACAGTCTGCAACACTGTAATACTCACGTGAAATATTACAGCAGCGTAACGACTTGATGTTTATGACAGGGTTAAGTTAAGGGTTGAAAGGTTAAATGACATCTTCAGGTTTATCATTGCCACCTATTTTTTTCCTATTTTACCGAGCTAGAAGTATGTGACCTTCTTCCTGTTCAAAGTTGTTTCTCACGTAACAAAGAACCTACTCAGAATACTATGACGCAGATCCTTTAAGGACACGTGAGACCACTTTATGAATGTTACATTACCGCTCCCAATTGACCCCCTACCACCATACTAATTAAGTTGCAATTCCCTTCCAGCAGTAGAAAAGCAGTCTCATGAAACACGGAATCATTCGGAAAGTGAGTAAAATGTCCTTAAATGGTAATTTGAACATGAAAGCAGAAGCAGCAAATTTGTCAACCACAAGACAGTGACAGTGACAGTGGATCAAGACAGAAGCGACCGCGTAACGTAAAACAATCCAATCACAAAGCATGAATTTCCGTACGGTGATTACAGATTTGGAGGCTTACAGGAATACACCTCCCTTACAAATTGTTCATACTTCTGGGAAGAAAAAGTGAAGGTGGCAGTCCCCTGATTCCCCCGTCCTTCCCTTCCCCCTCCCCCAACCCCCACAGGTTAGTCCAGGGGACTCATGATTCATGGATCAGTAGTATATGTCTCCCGCACACAGGACTTAGGCCGTGATGTTCTTTTCTTAGGATTCAGCATTTTCAGTATGTTTTCCTCACAAATATAGTTTTTTTTTAAATTTTTTTTTTCAGAAAACCCGGGGTGCTATTTTGAGAGAACGAAATGTGGTAGGAAAGGAGATGAAGAATGGCGACTAAGCTGGAACTCCTCAAAAAAGATTTGTAGTCATGATAGATTTCGAGCCAAAAATCATGGTAAGATGTGTGAAAATTCACAATAATTTTCACTGACATTGATTAAAAATATGACGATAAGATGGTTTAGCACCAATTTTATGTTACACATTTTACAGTTTTCGATTAATTGGCTAAAACCCAAAGTCATCACAACGACCAGTAACTAAGGATAAAGTTGTTTGGCACAAGGCAACAATGAGGACTCAAAACTCTAAAACGCATGGAAACGAGGGTGACTTCCTTCATTTTTTCTAGACAAATGCAATCTAGGACACCTTTAGCTTCACTCACAGACCATCCATGTTATGCATCTGCGATTTGGCATATAATAAGGCTTTCGTCTCCTCCAGTTAAACTCGCTCGTGATGCCAAATGCAAGCAAAATTATTCAAATTTTGCATTACAGATTTCAGCTAACGTGAAATTTGTGACCTGAATGCAACTTTTATGGGTTGTTCGTGACATACTCAATCTCCTAGCATCTGCGAACAAGATTCTAATTCTGCCATATGTAAAACTCTGTGGCATGAACATTGCATAGATTCTTAAAGATGAGTAGGCTTGCTGTCTTAAGGTAAAAGTAAGGACTTTTAAAAGTTTTCTAATGCTTTTAAGATTGCACTAAAAACAAAGCACATATTTCGACGCGCTGTTTAAGGTTTGGGCGCTTGCCGAAGAAGACCATTTTATTAGAAAACTTTCTACTCATTCAGGTTTGTGTAAGAGCTTTTCTTATTTTTTAACTTAAGTTCGGGAAGCAGTAGAAAAAAGGGGTTAAGTCTAAGCTGAATCTTGATACATTTTGTTTCCTAACAGGAAACTTCGTTTGTTTCATTGGAGTTAAAAATGATTTTCCAGCAACAATTTCTTCAAACGTTATTGAGTCCTCAAACAACTGGAAGTGTATGCGCTTTTGGTATTACATTTGCAACTGGAGAAAGACCTCTTCTTTATCTTATAAAATAGAGGTCTTGGTTGTGCATTTGAACCCAAATAAAACTGAGACGTCGGAAGAACTTCTCTCGGTCTCGGATAACACAAGTGACCACTGGATTTTTGTACAGCTTCCTCTCACATTGGATAAATACAGAGAGGTTAGTATCATTTCTGTGAAATGATCATGTGATTACCATTTGCAGTCACTCTTTTGTTGCTGTCACTATCATTGACCCTGTCGCAATCACTGTCAATGTCACTGTTATTGTCACTATTTCTGGACTGTCATTGTCAACTGTCAATCTTATTTTAACTGTCGCTGTTATTATCACTGTCATTGCCATCGTCTCTGTTACTGTTACGGTCATCGTCTTTGTTTCTGCGCCTGTCTCTGTCGCTGTCACTGGCTACAGAAAGGCACACACCGTAAGAGTGAAGTGTCTTGTCCATGGACACAGTACAACAATGATGACTCGGCCAAAGCTTAAAGACCTTCCAATCCAAAATCCAGCGTACTGAGTGGTAGGCCCTTGCGTTTGCCAAAGGTAGAGGGTAAGAAAAGACTTAAAAAGTGCCTGAAATCAAAGATTTGCTATCAGCAACAGCTATCACTCAAAGAGAGTTCCAAAAGAATGATGCAACCTTCGCATTCATATTTGGACGGTTTGTGGTAAACTACGTCGTTTCAAGTAATACTAAACCAGTAGGTGTCTGTCTAATGAACTTTGCTGAACGTATGCACTGTGAATCAGATAAAAATTCAAGGTGTTTTTTTCTTTTTTTACTTAAGATTTCCTTCAGGGGAACAGTAAGCTCCAGCGAAAAAGTGATGTTTGCAATTGATGATGTCTCATTTTCGCCGGAAAAATGCGAGAAAATACCATTCACCGACAAACAGAGTAGGAACTGTTTTTTGAAAAGTTTTTCACTGATTTTTCTTCTTTTCAGTATTTGTTTTAACTTCATTAACCCTTTAACTCCCATGATCTCATTAGTAATTCTCCTTACTGTCTGCCATATAGTTCTTGTGATTTTAGTTTGGAGAATTTGGTATTGGATCAACTAATAATTCCCCAATTAATGTTTTTCTTTATTCTCATCACTTGTCTGCTTGATATCGTATTGATATTGTAAGGAGAGATTCTGTCTTGGTCACTCATGGAAGTTTAAGGGTTAATCTATCTTTTTATTCATCAAAAGGCTGTAAAAATTGTGTAAAACTTGAGAACTGGACCAGTACCCCTGGCGACGCTACGTGGAGACTTGTCTCTTCCTCTGAAGTTAAAAAACTTCTTGAAAACTTACAAGATAATGTGACTGAAAGTTCACAAAGTGGTAATTGTTTCTTATTATACTAAGGCTAATTATAAGTCCCCGCCTACTTACAAACCCTTCAATGGTTACGTTTACGTAGATCACCCGTAGATATGTTCTCAAATCAATATCGTTACTTACATGCCTTCCTCGCCATCTCTGACTTGTTACCGTTTAAAAAAAACCATCGCACGTAAAAAGGAGTCGGGATGACTAGAGCATAAAACGATGGTTCTTGACATATAGTAAAATTCTACGTACAACTGTTTAGAAACTGGAATGCAGAGGTGTTCGAAAAGTATGCCTTTAACGTTTTAGTATTTTCTAATTTTTTCCCTTTCTCCTCCACCCCACCCCTCCCCCCCTCCCCCATTATATGAGCCCAGCGAAGACTCTTTTACGACATTGTTTAAGTTTAGGGCGTATATCCCATTTTTTTGGTGCAGCTCACTGGTGATAGTCCGTCTACTCAAGAGCTTATTTCTTTTAAATTTATTTACTTAATTACGATGAACATAAACATGTACTACACGCTACATTTAAGCAAAGACTGAAGTGATAAATGAATAAAAGTCATCCTTTTACCAAGAAAAACGCCGCTATAACTAGGTAGAACCTTGCAAATTCTGGGGTAATTTTACTTTACTTCACATTGTGGATAGCAGTTAAAATTTTCTTCTCCTCTCGTTTTCCTCCTCTGTTAAAGTGCTACGTTTTGATGCAATATGCCAAAGCATGCATGTTAAGAAATGGCTCCAGAAGGATTTAACCAAGGGTACACTGTGTGTGTGGATTAGAACCAAATTCCCGGGGCTGCAGCTCGAGTATAGGCAAAACACTGACGAGTGTCGAGGGAAGACTTTACTTCAACTAGTCTTTCAATCTGCTCTGCTGAAAATTAGATTACATGAGAAAGAATGGTTAGTATAACAGATTGTTGTTTGTTTTAATTCATCTTCCCCAAGTTAGTGCTTCAGTTTTCAAAATCCAAGAATAAATACTGGTTGTGATATATGTATTTACCAAGAGAATATAAACAGTTTCTATTCTCTTGGAGTGTGCGGATTGAGTATAGGAGTCGCAAACTGTAAGACGTGAGCTCAGCAATGTTCTTTGTCTCCTCTTCAGGAAAAAGTACACTTCTTTGTTTAGTTTCCGTAACAGTCTCTGCATGCCCATCCGCGCAAACAGACGATTCGCGTCAATCATTCTTCATGCGCGTCAATCATCAGCTATTACTTGAGACATACGGTGGAGGTTTCCAACCGCCATCAGCCTAAGAGCACCTCTGAGAAGGTGGCAATGACGAGGCCTTTCGGCGCTCAAGAACATTGATTATAAGGGGTGACTTGGTTATCTCTTCCGACCTTAGGAAATCCTAGCCCTAGAACTAGCTGAAGCTTTCACTCCCCTTGCTTGTTTTAACTGGCTACTTTATGATTCCATTAGCAAGTTTACTTTAAATCACAGTACTTTGCTCTATTTTGTTTCCGAACGTCAGAAGTCAGACGTCACACTGATTTTTTTAATGAAACATGTTATCTCACTTTTTAGGGATATCACAACCTCCATAATTGACGAAAAATGGCACCATGTTTGCGCCAGCTGGGGCGAAGTACAAATGAGCGGAGTTTTACAAATCTACATTGACGGACAAATTAAATTGAAGGAGCCTCATGTTCACGTGGAAAATCCAGTAACAGGTACCCAACATATTATTTAGCTCCTATGAGATAAAAAGAAAAGGTTTTTCTGAAATCGGTTAGTTTTCAGCAGCTGTGATTTTCAACAGCGCATTTTTGGCGAGTGATCCACCACACGCCAGATAGTGAAAGAGGAACTACAATGACGTGAATTCTCGTGATTACGAAACATATCAACAGAAGCGTCGTGCCACAGCAGATTTCTGAGGCAACGAGACACCTGTATAACAAGGATTGAAATGTGCCAATCATAGCAGCTAAAAACCAGCCAACTGTTGTGTTGTTTCATGCTTCATAAGAAGACGCACATCACCTTCCCCTGTCGATTGATGGACTTGCAAGCAGTCGAAACAATGCAATTTACATACGAAGTGATTATATCGTGAAACCGGTATAATATTTAACCTAGTGCAAAGAGGATTTTTGGAGCACACTAGAAAAGCTTGTAAATCACTTGCTTCTGACTTGTGATTTCGACTGAAAATTTTGAGTATTCTCTCAATAACCCAGGTGGGTTATTATGCTGGTAAATCGACGGAACGTTTTCTGTGATTTTACTACTGCAATAAACGATAGGTTTTGACCAATCAGGGCGTGCGTAGTACGTCAGTTATTCATAAAACCAAATAATCGTGATAGGACCAAGTGGAGTCTAATTCGGTCTGTAATCATACCTTTGATTAACAAATTCGGACGACCGCGAAGCGGGAGTCCGATTTGTTGATCATGAGTATGATTACAGACAGAGCTGGACTCCACTCGGTCCTGTTACCAATTAATCATAACTGTTACAATTTTCGAAAACAACAAATACATTCAGGACAAATACGTTCAGTAGAAACAATGTCTATGTAAAATATTCCTCAACTTTGGAAATTCCACAACTTTTTTAGGATAAGTGGTTGTTGCTATGGTTATTGTGATCAATTCTGTGATTGGTGACTGAAAGGACCAAATATGGTTGGCTGCTTAACTGTCCGATTACAGATGTCCGATTACAGCCAACTGTCCAATTACACTTCCAATTGCAACTCTACAGAATGATCTGTTAAAAGTTAAGCAGCTACTGCACCAATCACGTTTGAGGAAATTGTAATGGTTGTGATTTATGAATTAATCGTTTGCGGTAATATTTTCTGAATTACAACTTTTCGTACTTCAAAGGGAGAGGAGACTTGTATCTACGATTTAAGGAGGAGACAACCTCGAGTGGAATCAACGGTTATATTAGTGGACTTAACGTGTGGAATCACGTGCTCGAATCACAAGAAATATGGCGCATGTCTCTTGGCTGTGCAAATGAAACAGGAAACGCAGAAGCCTGGACGAGATTCCAATCTTACTTGAGCTATAATTCAACTCAGTGCTCAGTGATTCGGATAAAGAAAGCTTTATCATGCCAAGATCGTGAAGGTTCGTTACAATCTCAATTTATTTTTGCGAAGACTATGTCAAAAATATGCCAGTAAATCTGATTATCATAACATCTGCATGAACGAAAGCCCGCAATCAGGTAAAAGACAATGAAGTTCAAAACCAAAATTCGACTTTTTTGTTTTTTAACTCAGTCTCCCGATTATGCCGATAAAAAGCATTATCTCAAGAAGTAGAAAATGCAGGTGACCAAGCTGCGAATGGTTTTGGTGCATTTTGCAATTGATAGACGAAGGCATTTGTTGTATTTGGGGTTGTATTTGCTCGACCTCACTTGACTCTTTAAAAATTCACTTTGCTCTCCCAAACATTTAGATGAGCAAATTGCAAAAAAAATTACAGGGACTTAGTCACTAGTTTTCCTCAAGATTCGAAAGTCTATTTGGCTCTTTTACACATTAACCATTTTCCCTGTTTTCTCTGATTGCCTGTAATTTCTTTTCATTAGCAATAGTTTTGCTTTTACGACACTCGTTTTAAATCATGTCACCATGTTTCATCTCATGAAACCTTTTGGTGATAAGATAAACAATGAATTTCGCGGCAAACTCTTTGAATTCTCTCATTACAGGTGATAGAATGATTCTTAATGCAAGTAGAGGTCGAGCAGCGCTTAAGAGCCCGTGGTTTATCCGGTCAGATGGTGGGCATGGAAAGTGTATAAAGTTTCGCTTTATGTTCTTTGGTCACGGAAATCATTCACTACATTTGATTCAAAGCGTTAATGAAGACTGGGAGCCAACACCTATTTGGGCAATAAATGGCACTGAAGAAGACTACAAACAAAAATTATGGCAATATGGACAGGTGTCAATAACAGGAACAGTGCGTCATCGGGTAAGGAATGAGGTGCCTTAGAGGGGTTTTTTTTATAATCATTTAGTCAGACTGTGTTGCGATTTATCTGGAAGGATAGAAGTCCTATGTGTTACAACGCAAAACAATTACTTTCTCAGTATGAAAAGAATATATTTTAACTTTTGACACTAGCTTAGGACGAATAAAAAAATCTGAGGCTAGATGTGGATTTAACCCCAGCTTATTCAAACTTTTCCTTCAGTTGCTACGCCAGAGAATTCAGTGGTGAGCTCGGCCATGCAATAGGAACACGGCGGTTAAACTTCAGGCGTGCGCAAAAGGTTCACTTTTAGACGGCCGTGCGCCAATTTCTCGCGCAAAATTTCAGAGGAAATAAGAATAAAAGAAACACTGTCGCCTTAAAATACGCGGAAAACATCGAAACGTTCACTGAATTATTTAAAAGGAAAATAAAGCATGCAAAAGGAATACCCGAGGCTTTTAGAACACAAAGCTTGTTCAGTTACGTGTGATTTATCACTCTGAGCTTTATACAATGCATCGCACGCTTTTAAAACGCCGTCACTTACTAGCTTGTGTTATTGTTGTTTTCTTTTTAACACTTGTAAGAAAACGATTATCGCTCGAACATGCTTATGTAGGCGATGTAGGTACATGCGTTTATTGGCTACAAAATAATGTTATCTTAGCACTTAAAAATTTGCTCCATACTAAACTACACAATGCACTTTTGTTGTTTCAGTTGATTTTTAGAGGTCAAATAAACTCAAAGGACGATGGCTACATAGCAGTTGGTGGTCTATATATTGTACCTGGTTACTGTGAGATTCAGCCACCAAACGCAAACCAAGGTGAGCACGAGGTTAAGTGATACAGAAGGAGTTATGAATCATGAAGACCACTCACAAGTGAGAAAGGATAAAGTGATGTGGAAGATGAGTTGACTACAAAAATAACATGAATTTGTGTGAGCAAAGAAACTTGGAAAAAATTACGCAAATCGGAATTGAAGAGAATCTCACCCATAATTTTGAAAAAAAAATCCCTAAAGCCTGACATTTTTCTGTATTTCTTACTGGTTTCTTTATTCCTTAGGTAAACTACGTTAGTTTTTTAGAATGTGCTTAGAGCTCGAGCCTTTCAAAATTACCCGTAAGGGTTTACAGTGATCTAAATCCGGTTCTGATCGGACGTAATTTCTGTATTCACCAGGATGAGTTGAACCTCGGTTGGTTGTGATTAATTGTTATCGAATGATATGGTAGTCTCATTCTCAGACTTTCACGGCTAAGCGGTTGTAAATACAGTTAAACGGTGGGATCTGGGTACGAAATAAATTACATTTTTACATTTTATAGATATCCCATCATATAATGAACGAATAGCAACTAATGCACCCTTAAAGGTAGCAAAAGTAGAATTTCGAGGCTAAGTAAAATGCGACGCGATCGCTGAACCTGGGCATCTATCGTTGCTAATATTATGAGACAACTGTCGTTAGATTTCATGACGTTCTAGAGACATCGCAGCTTCAGGACTAACGTTAGTAAACAATTAAGGAACTTTAATGGGGAAGAGAGGAGTTTTAAAGGTACACTGGCCACTTGGTCGTGTATGAGAAAGCAATTTTCAGTTTAAATTTAGCGCAATATAATATTTGAAATTCCAAGAAGCATAGCCTTAACTCCAAGATGACAGGGATTAGAATATTCAAAGGTTCGGAATCAAGGGAGTATTTTGTGATACTGAACGAATGATGGCAGCAATATGTAAGCTTATTGGGAGTTGATACCCTGCCTGCACGAGTGACCATCAAAATCCGCATAATGATCTCATCAAATCAATTTATATATATAATTATACAAAGTTGTGTTCTTTTTAAGGTTTTCGAAAAGAAATCTTGAAAAATCAAACGACTGGCTGGATTTTGTCTCCCCAATACCCTGGATATTACACGAACGACGCTTCTTATACATGGACCCTAATAGCTCCTCCTGGTCACGTGATCAAGTTAGAGTTTGTCTTTTTTGACCTGGAGAATAGCAGTGAGTGCTCACGTGATTTCGTGGAAGTAAACGAATCTCACGTTACATACGGACGCTTTTGTGGTCAAACCATTCCAGCTGTAATTGAGTCCAAAGGAAGAATAATGTTCTTGCTCTTCAAGTCAAATGAAGAAGTGATAAGGGGAGGCTTCAAGGCTAACTATACGGCAATAAAAGGTAATTGATGGATACTGATGTGATACGTCAGGAGGATGGAATAGATGCTATTAAGGAGCAGTGCCCACATTTCTGGCCAGCCATGCGTGTCAGTCCCATTTAGATTGATAAAACCGAGGTCGATCGGAACCTCCCTTTAAACAGTTATGAAAGGAGAGTAGGCATTACACGTAGAATGCCAAAATGATCCCAGACAGATCTGATGTTGAACGTTTGATGGTAGACACTGCGTTGCACTCATTGGGGCAGTTCGGTTATCATACTTTAACAAACACCTCCAGGAAAATACGTTGTGTTATTCTGTTTAAGTACCACAAGTTCATGAAATTAGAAAACTTATTTATCGAATTTCAAGACTGACTCAATTTTATTCTTTGCAGTTCCAAATGTTTGCCTTGAAAATGGTAAGTTGTCAGTCCAGCAAATGCAGACTATCAGTTTTCCAAATGAATTGAATCAAAAAAGATATATTTTACACCAACTTTTTCTCCGCTTTAAGCAGACATTTCGTGTCTTCTTTTCACTTTTCTGATCTAGGCTGTCCGGAGAATTGTAATTGCTGTAAGACAACTGATAATCTTGACCTTGTTGTTCAGTGCAGTGGCAGATTGACGGAATTTCCGGGGATCCCAAACTACACCACTGTTATGTAAGTTTTGTTCATTTTGTACCCAGCTCCTCTTATCTTGGATCTCGCAGTCAGTATGTGAGCATAAGGGCCACGTCTTGAGTCAAAAACAATGACGTGGAGACTACCTTCATCTCTGAAAGACGCCAGAAGAACCAAAGAGAGCAAAGGAAAATATCACGTGGAGCTAATGAGAACTCACAATAAAAACTAGACTAGACAGTAGCTTGAAGCGCGGGAAAACGCGAATGACGTGACGCGATTGGTCTTAGTGGCACACGTTTCTATCCAGACCGTGCGGAGCGTATTGAGGTAAACTCGGCGGGAGTACTCTCGAGACCCATTTGAAGTTGGTTCTGATCAGTTTGGGTGCGAGAGGACAAATCATGAACTAGGCTAAGAGAGAATCCTCACTCCATAACACTTATTGTAGCTCACAATAACAACAGCGGATCTAGGGGAGGGTCCCGGGGGGCCCCAGGCCCCTTCCCTATTTTGGGTAAAAAAAGAAGAATCGCAAAAGGAAGAAGAGCTGGCAGGGCAAACGACAAAAAACCGCCGCCGCCGCCGTCCCCCCTTTTGCTCAAGGTCTGGATCTGCCGCTGAATAAATTTCAGTGCTTTTTATCTTAATGCATTAAGTACCGGTCCAGACAATTTAAAGTATTACCTGATAAGCACACATAATGTTTTGTCTAAGATGCTTAAAAAGAATGTAAAATTCTTAATTTGCAGATTGGATTTGGACCCATCTCAAATTTGTAACAAATAAGATTATGGGCTTTGAAACCCCTTCCCTCCGCCTAAAACGTTCGTTATTTACCTGGATTCTAGCGTACCGACTTTTTAAATTATATCAAAATATGATAAACTTAAACTGGTAACAATGCTTTTCATTTTTGCAGGTTATTGAGCCATAACAATATAAGTGAACTGTACATGAGCGCCCGGGATCTTCATTCTCCACCAGCTGCAAAACAGCGGCTAGTTTACATGTAGGTGTTTCGTGCAATAACATGCTCACTCGTTGAATTTGCATCATAATTAGTCCGTTTTGTTGGACGGAAGATTTTCCGTATTTTGGGATGACTGTAAAATACAATTGTATACAATGAGATGGGTATTTTGTGTGGTGTCAGTTTCGTTATCACCCATGCAGATGGTCTGAGAAAATTACGTTTATAGGTCGGGGAATAAGCATTGAACTAATATGAACGGTACAATGAACAATTAGATCACAAGCTTTAGATTTCTATCACGCATAGTAATCGAAAGTGAATGATGTTATTGTTTTAGCAGAAATCTACAAGTCGTTTAAGACTTAACAACAAGACGGACTCATGTTTTTATTTCATTTTATTTAACCGCACATTGCAAGACTGGTCGCTCTACCTTCATATATCACGGAACAGATGGCGAGAACCATAGCCGATCAGATTGCAGCATGAGTAGATTTATAGTTAATCGAGAGAGATGGCATGCGTAACCCAATCTCAGGAGTGGTAACAACCCGCCAAGAATTGAGGAAGACCAAGTTCTACAGTTAAAAAGCTTACGACATCGACTTGCTTCAAAGGATAATTTACTACCTAGTTAAGTTCATCAACAACCTCTTACGCTTTTTTGTTTAATTTCTTTGCAGTGATCTCAGCTACAACAAGATAGTTTACGTTGAGGACAGGGTGTTCCAAAACATGTCTTCCTTGTTAGAATTGTGAGTCTTTTATTTCAGATAATAATTTGCCTACACCCGGAAAACGAGGCATAGCTTCGAGAAACGGGTCCCCAGACTTCGACTTCGGTCGATTTTTCACTTGAAATCCATGAGATTCGGCTTAGATGAGTAATGCGTACTTAGCCACCCAGATTTAATTTTTAGGGTCTATGTCACTTGACACGAGTATCGTTTTCTCAGCAGTTACAATCCGCAACTTAGCGCGGCCATTTTTTTTTCTCTTATCTTAACTAGAAGACTAAACGGAAATTTCATCGAAGATATTTGTGCTGATACGTTATCTGGACTCAATGCCTTGCAAACGCTGTAAGTAAATGGTGGTGTGATTGTACAAGAAATACAAGCCTTCTATGTCATTGCTGTCCTCAAAGAAGGACTCCGAGAAACTTCCTGTACATGAATTTTCCATCTTCTAGATAGATTCTCCAGAATGCAAATGAGAAACAGCCATTGGCTTTGAATAGTTTCATAGAATAATTTTCATTTGACGTTTCTTCTTTTTTAACCTCTTCAATTGGTCAAAAATTTGCTCTAACTCATCAACCATTCTGATGCGAAACTTCCCATTACGGTGAATCACGGAGATCAGCTATCTGTATTGACTTTGCCTTCAATAGGCCCCATGTTTGATTTACCTTTGCTCTGATTTGCCTTTATAATTAACACTAGTTTTTCTTCGAGAAGTGCTCTGATGAAGGAGATCTACTCGTTGCATCCGTCTCTGCGGTTTGCAAAAACGTAACGGCTGGTGTGACCAAACTCTTTTCCTTCTTTTCAGAGATTTGGGCGACAATCTGCTTTCCAAGTTGGATGACAACCCATTTGGACATCTAACCAACCTTCTTATACTGTAAGCTGCTTTTTCTTCTCTTTCATTTCAAGCGGAAAAGCATAAACAGAGAGCGCGAGAAAGGGCATGGAACTCGAGAGCAGAGTATGCAGTTTCTTGTCAGATCTTGAAAACAGTTTCAGAATTAATTAATTTATCAAGCATTAATCAATTGATTAATAATTCGATAGACATTAATCATTGATTACTTTACTACTGTGAACGCTATAAGGAAAATGCAAGAAGGTTTGCTAAAAGAAATATATACCTCAGTTAATTTTTCTCTAGTCTAACCGTCTCGCTTGTGATTTACTGTGTTAACAGTAGCTTACTTTCATATGAGAAATGGCTTTTTTAATTCAACAGGAGCCTTCGTTCCAATAGAATAAAGACTATTCATGAACTTTCATTCAGGAATACCAACAAACTGACCCACCTGTAAGCTGGGTTTATGTTTGTGTTTTAATTGATCACCTGTAAGAAACAGTATTGTGGACACATTTTTTAATTTGCCTTGTTTGCCTTCATTGTCCCTCGCTTCATTCTGATTCAATCTCAATCGACCCCCGCTCTTACGTAAACTTAGAGACAATTCGAAATATTTCACCACTCAGCTATCATGGAAGCAAAGACGGCGCGAAATCTATACAGATTATCGGGAGGACAGGGGTCTGTGCTGTACTATTGAAGTTTTTAGATGTTTTTTTTTCATCTTCGTGAAAACTTGAATCTTCATTGGATCACTCTACCAGCAGAGATGTTTATTTTTGCTCAGTTGTTTAATGCATAAATTTTTTTGTTACTAACATTTTTGTTGTTCCTCGCCAATCCACGATATACACATTTTTCTGAAAGTTTATCGTAAACTAATTAGTTTCTCATATTGTGGAAAGGTACCTTCAAAAGAACATCATCACTCACATCAAGGATGGTCTATTTCAAGCTTTATCGAGTTTGAAAGTGCTGTAAGATGATTTCGTTTTGTTCATCGGTTAGCTGCAACTTTTAAGTATTTGGCAGCAAGACTTAGCGCTTGCCTTAAAAGTTACGATACATGTGCATTCTAACCACGTCAGGAAATTTTAATTGTTTATTTGAAATTCTTCTTCTCGATATGCCAACTGTCATGTCTGTCTTTGAGCGATGATACTACTTATGTGTTTATTATGAATAAGCACATATCAAAATTGAAAAATTTTCTAAACCCCTTAGATATCACACAATTTAGGAATACAAGCGATTTCTTGCTGCATGAAGTGTTACGAGCTCGAGGGGTTAGCATATCAACTCTTGGAATTTTCGATGTCGCAAGAGGTCAAAAAAGGGCCTTTTGCAGCTTTGGTTATTGAGAGCTCTCAGAAAAAATTTTTGATGTATTTCCAGGAAACCAATGAGGTTTTATTTACTTACTACCAAAGATAGTTTAGTGGGTAAAGTTTGAGGCAAAACTTTCGATGCGAAAAATCACCACTTAACTGAAACATATTTTCATTAAAAAAAGAACCCATTTAAGAAGGAAGTTTTATTTCTAAAGCTCCGACGCAATCCTTTTCATAGGTATTTGAATGACAACAAGTTAAAAACGTTGATCTCTCTCGCATTTGATGGACTTCGCAAACTTGAAATTCTGTAAGTTTTTTTTTTCAAAACTTTAGGTCTTCTTGCACCCCGCACACTTTGATGTAATGCATAGTTCGTTTGCAGTATCGGTTCTCTGGCCACTGCATGATTCTATAATCGATAAAGCCAGAATTAGTGTAGCTTAGTAGAGGAACAACTAAGCAATTACTCAGAAATACTAAATACAATTGCTCTAAGAAAACTATTAATAAGCTTCCTCGATTCTCATTTTTACATCATCAGGCATCTGCAAAACAATCCGCTGGACGAAAGGATCCCTCAAGATGTATTCGAAAAAGTAAAGAATTTGAAAATCCTGTGAGTGGCCTTTTAAAATAGCTCCATCTTACTGAACCGGTAGCCCTGAGCAAGCGCCTCAGTAGAAGTTAGGTCTATATGAGGAAAGATACTCACAAGTTGTTACTTTTTTCATTCAGGAGGTTTTATCAATCTTCGGGTAACATACACTAAATCTCGTAGCCAGATTCTCACCGTTTGACTGTAACTGTGGAAGATCTAGGTACAAGACTAGCCTGTTACCCCAAAAAACCACCTTAGTCTAATACACTTTTCTCGATTATTTTAATCGTTCAGGCGTTTATTTTTAAGTTTTGAATGGTCAAATATGTCTTTTTTTTCCATGAATGCTTATATCTCCTATTCCTCCCCCCCTTCCCTCCCCCCCCACCCCTCACCGTGTAAGGGGCTTAATGGTCTTTAAACCCAACATCTATGCTACACCTTTGATTAAACTCTGTTTTTGAACACGGCCATTGTCCCTTGCAGAGGTAAAAGTTTTTTCATTTTTCATTCAACTATCTGTTTAAACTTGTCTCTAGGAAAATCGACAAATTCATCCTGTGTTGCTATGCCAAGAAAGCCATCAAAAACTTGGACTGCCAAAGCAATGACAAAAATGAATTCTCCAGCTGCGATGACATGATGAAATACCCATTAATCCGTGCGTGCCTCTGGGTGCTTGGCATCCTGGCCACTTTCGGTAACTTGATTGTCCTTATTTGGCGCGCATTGGTGCCCGACAACAATCGTGTGCAGTCGCTACTCCTTTCCAATTTAGCAATGGCCGATTTTCTCATGGGTGTTTACTTACTGACTCTTGCCGCACTGGACTCCAAGTGGAAAGGGGAGTACTTCATTCACGATGTCTCATGGCGCAATAGTCCTTCTTGCCGGATCGTGGGAGCAATTTCTATGCTTTCCAGTGAAGTTTCCGTGGCGATGCTAACTATAACAACCGCGGACAGGCTAATATGCGTGGTTTTTGCTCTCAAATTTGAGAGAATGACACTTAAATCCGCCTATATGGTTTGTCTGTGCGTCTGGGTAGTGGGTGTGGTCTTGTCCATAATACCCATATTGGACATAGAGTACTTCCTCGGCAATTCAAACGGGATGAGCTTTTTCTCGCAGTCAGCAGTTTGCTTGCCTTTGCAGCTTTCCAGCGAGAAACCCTCGGGTTGGGAATATTTCATGGCGATCTTCATAATCTTCAACTTTTGTTCGTTTTTCTTCATTCTCGTCGCATATATGGCCATCTACTGGACCATAATGAAACTGGTCGGCGGATCAGCATCTGCACACATGCAACAAGAGTCTGCACGAGCCAATCGTCTTTTCATCATTGTGTTGACAGATTTTTTATGCTGGATGCCGGTTATCATTATGGGTATCATGTCTTTGACAAACGCTTCCTACTTTTCTAATCTCACAGGCAAGGTTTATGTCTGGGTGGCCGTTTTCGTTCTTCCTCTCAACTCATCAGTGAATCCAATCTTGTACACTCTCGCCACTTCAAAAGTGAAAGAAAAACTTGGGTCTGTCTTCTCAAAGTTTTCCATTCGTAACAAGCAAGGTAATGTGTCGAAGTAAAGATACAGTGTTTCCTCGAATAATCGCCCGAGTGCTTAATATTTAAAACTTCAGTTAAAAGAAGGGGTGCTAATTAAAACTAGGGCGCCTAATCGAGGACGGCGCTAATAAAGTTAGCGCAGCAGTAAGAAGAAAATTAAATGAACAGGCCACGCACATAAAGGAACTCCGCAAGAGCATGGAGATTGAAATAATTGGAAGTGATTTCCTCAATGGAAATGAAACTTTTCTCCTGTACTTAATGAAAGTGGTCAGTTGAAGCTTAAAAGATAAAAATGAAGTGGCAATAGAAACAGGTTTTCCTTGTTTTCCTACTATTTAAGAAAGTGAGGGAGATGAGGTGAGGCGGGGCGCTTAATCGAGAAAGGTGCTTGTTTGACATAGCAGCTAAAAGGGGAGGGCACTTATTAGAGCGTAAGCGCTTATTCGACGAAATACGGTAGAAAAAAAACTTTCATATCAGGGTCACAAAGGCAATTTATTTTTCCGATTTTCCTTCTTTCTTGTCTCTGCCTTCTCTCCTAATCTCGTACCCAGATCCTACGGTGGAACTGGAATGTACGCACGGCCGTGTAAATTCTGGGTACGAGACTATTTCCCTCCTTCCCTTGCACCGTTTTTGCAAGAGGGAAGATTTGCAGAAGAGGCCCATCATGCAGTGCTATCTTTGAAACACTATCTTGTAAAAATTTGATTGCCGCGTTTTGTCTTTTTCCTTTTCCAGGACGTGTCCATCCAAGTCTTGAAATGGCCAGCATGCCCTCCGACCGCAATTATGCAAACACGATTGAATGGAGTATTAGTTCAGATCTTACCTCCCCTCCCATGACTATAGTTGAAGTACCGTTGATTCTTCAGGAGGAATCAAGTGACAAAATTGTACGACGCTGAGTTTATGAGTTTAATTCTCGACGAGTTTCTCAAAACTACATCTCTTGGAAATATTTTAGAGCTTTCTGCACGAAATTAAATAAGCTCTGAATCAAGGCATTTGATACATACCCTGATCAAACATATTTGTTTAAGAAAGCCATGCAAACGAAATAGCTTTTTTCGGGTTAATTACATCAGAAGGAACAGAATACGTACAGCGTTCAAGGATAGTTTCGAAGTATGAGGAGAGGGCAAGGGCGTCGCTGAAGGGATTTAGGGGTATTCATTTAAAGCTTCATTCTCAGTCAGAATATATTTATGGAAGTGCGAATAAAAAAAACATTTTGTGCCGACTCTGATAAGAGTTCCACCAAAATTGTGTATCGGGAGAACACGAGCTCACGTCCTATTGAGTGTGTATATGTTATTATTTTGATCGTTAAGAAAGTTCTCCTTATTCAACTTGTTGAGGCTGTTTCTTCAATCATCATACAGGGTTATGTAGTTTGTCGCGAAGAGGATCCGCAAACCGACGAACCTACTTTGTTCCTCGTCAAATGGTTTTCACAAGACAAAGTACAAGAGTGGGAAAGAGAGGTGTCCATCTACATAAAGATGTCACAGACGGGGAATCATCCCTGTGTTTTACCTTACCTCTGGCACTTAAAAGGTGAGATGATCTAAATACCTGGCGTTGAAGGTGTCCTAGCATGCCACTGCTCAAAATACATGTTTTACAAGTACTCTCGGTTGTCATGACACGGCCACCGTCGTGTCACGCTTGTGTAACGCTTGCCGTACAACCATCTTAAACGATCGTCGATGTCGTGTCCAAGCTGAGATCAATGGAAGATCCCGATAACGTGAGTTAGTGAGTATTTGAAAACTTACGTGTCTGAGTATGACCCCATCCAGCTAAACATGTGATAAATCCTTTTTTTTTAGCCACCAGACAACAAATTATACATAATTCACTCTATTTTTAGCCGAGGGTTGTCGACTGACCAGGAGTCACGGTGATCTACCATCATTGCCACCGCAAACCTGGTGAGTTACTTTTTATTTTATTAATCGAGTGACAAAATACAGAGAAAGAGTATTTAAATATTTTGTCTTATCGGCAAACTGTACTCGATCTTTCATGTTCCTCCACCCTCATTAGCAATATTTCATCATTTCTAACAATCATGATAATTAATATTATGATCACTAGAAGTAAGAAAAGGAGTATGAGATATTTGCAATAGAGCGCTTTTCGATCAAGGGTTCGATACAAAAATCAAAGTATTCATGCCGTGCATTCAGAACAAAGAGGAAAGTCAGAGAGAGTCGAAGAGAAGTCAGAGTAACTCGAAATAGGCGACCTAAAGCGCTGGAAAACGTGAATGGCCATGTAAATCATGTTTGAACCAGATTGGTTGGGAATCAGAGATGGGGTAAAACTCCTTGGCCAATCACTACAAAGCCAAGTGAACGCAATGGCGGACTACTCACGACTCTTAATCGATGATGAATGGATGATTAAACTTCTATACACGAGAATAAAAACTGTGATGAAGAGGACTCATTTTTGCAGAAAGGAACAGACTAGTAGTTATTTTTTTTTAAGTGCATGTGCTTATTCTGAAGGTCTTCTTTACATAGCGTCGGGTCTGTCATATATTGGTGACGCAAACCAACCATATATGAGAGGTGAACTCTCTGTATTGGTAGTCCCCTTGCTAATTTAATAAAAAAGGAACAAAAACAAACTACGGCCTCCAAGTGAGTTCTGAAATGATTTCGTTTGTTGTTTTTTCTTTTCTTTTTTTTTCGTAATTAGGCTCATCTGCTTCCAGTTTGTATCAAACATAACACTGGGCGCGTTCATGAGGGACGAATCCGCCGCCATACTCGAGGCCAAACTTCTTTGTAGACTAGCCACTGATGTGCTCCAAGCTTTACGGTTCATACACCAGTGTGGTATTTGCCACAACAACATCAACATTGATAGCATTTTAATACAAAAAGACACGGGGAGGGTAAGAAATAGAATTGTCTATCCTTGTTCAAAGTAGGCTGCTTCTGTGCATCTTTGTCGTAAGAGACGGATAAGGTACCATGAGACGCCATGTGCTAGCTTTCACACTTTTGCTCTAAATGGAGGACAGTATTTGGGGTATTTCTGTTAAAGAAAGGAGCATGTCAACTATAGGATATTGTTTTCCGAGTTTAGCACCAAATTATCAAGTATAAAATTGGGGAATTGTTAGAACAGTAGACACAGTAGGATATTTACATGAAGGTTAGCTCAGAGGCTGAGTCAAGCCTCAGTCTCCTTACAAGGACAAAAATATTTAGTCTCAACACAATTTAAACTTATTATCCATCAAGCAGATAATAATTACTAAGATAGGAAGAACTGCCCTTCACACTCCCTCTCTGATCAAATACAATGTTTTAGCTTAATGTGACACCAAATTCCATCAACCAATTTACAAAGGACATGATGTACATCCCATAGCAGGGGTAATAAAATACAAGATTCCAGAAGTTTACGGTGTAATAAATATATGCTTAGAGGTACCCCCTCGAAGGGCACACCTATCCAAGGCTGGAAGTGAAACACAAGAAAAGGTTTTTCTGAGGCAGGCGAAAGAGTTAGGGGCACGCAAACAGTTGGTGGGTTATCCAAGGAAGAAGCACGAAAAAGTGTGCTTTGTTTTATGCAAAACACTTGGTACGTCTTTTATTTGATAGTCACAAGATTTTTAGGCTGCTATGCTTTACTTCTTACAACAGTTTCCCAGCTTCCGCGCGGTTCTATGTGGTTTTGGTTGCGCTTCTCATCACAATCCAGTAACCTTGCCTGATGACATGGTTCAGTTTGCTCAGCTGTTACGCGTGATGACTGACAGATGTGCTGAGCTTCAGGACACAATTGAAGAGGTACAGTATAAACAATAACCAACCATTACTGATGTTCACTATCAAACACCCTTATGCGAAAATTAATACCGTATACAGCTGTTTCATGAAAGTTTGTCGGTAGAAAGACGAAAGGACAAGCAGCAAAAATCTAGAATGGTAATCTGGGTGTCCAGTAATCAACGAATTTTAATCAGTCAAATAAATAAATGAATTTATAAAATAATTCAAATAGTACGCGCACTCTGATTGGCCATAAAACCATTTTACATGAACGTATGTAAACACAGTTTTCGTTCCTCTTTCATTAGTTATTTTATAAAAGAAACGCAAAATGGTTTTCGTGTTTATATAGCCTGCTATGCTAGCTAGCTTTTCGTTCCTCTTTCATTAGTTATTTTATAAAAGAAATGTAAATTGGTTTCCGTGTTTACATAGCCTGCTATGCTGCTAGCCGGCTATGTGTTTACATAGCCTTATCTCGTGTTCTCCCAACCTCCCGCGTGTTTACATCAGGCTATGTAAACACGGAAACCATTTTACATTTCTTCATTATTAAACCCGCGATGCCTCGTCCTTAAATTAACGTTTTCTCAGATTTCCCTGAAATCCTGAGGTCAAAGGAAAATGGCCTGAAAACTACCCACAATACCTTTCGGAGTCGACAACCTTTAGAGAAACAAGTTGTAAACCCTGAACATTGTCGTGATGTACATCGTGAACAAAAGTTTGCACTGTGAAAGGGAACGTTGTTTTCCTCGTGAACAGCGTGTACCTAAAGCTAGATTCTTAGTCGTTCAGAAAATACTGAAAAAATTATCAAACATTCACTCAAAACGAGACCATTTGATCGCCTCTCTTCCAATACTCTTTTCTACAGCAGGAGGAAGTGCCCCACCTTTTAAATAAAGTAACGACCTGTGCGACAATTGGACGAACCGCTCAAACGTTTCTCTGATATTCCTTTCCAGATCGAGGAAATAGTGAAAATCTGGAGTAACAGTGAACACTCCAAAAACAAGATACTCACGAAGCTGGAGGCTCTATGCAAGTAAAAGCAAAGATTTAAAGAAGAGGATCAAGTTCTGCCAATCTACTAATTTACATCACCTTCGATGTCTGGCCTTTGATAACGTGATGCCTTTCAATTCCAACATGGCGACGAAAGTTTCACTGGTCTTTTAAAAAAAAAACTGTTCGTACAGTGGCATTAAAATGCTACCTCTATGCGAGACTTCTTTAGCGGCTTGTCTCTTGCCTTAGAAATTAGCCTTCCTAGCCTCCTAAACACATGTAATCACGATGCAAATTTGCCGTTTGTCAGCGACCATGAAATAATTTCACCCTTACTATTCGACGGTGAAGCGAAGTCAATTAATAACTTGCCATAGTGTACATTGTAATGTGTCGGTCACCTCACCCCAATACTTTAACACCCTCGTTTTCCGACTTTATATTTTCATGAGCCGTAATAATCAATTTGTGCTGAGGATAGAGAATACAATGATGAATTTGAAAAAATGTGTTCATAAGAAAAACAATTCTGGCTGAACAACTTCTCTTTAATTTTCTGTAATATTTTAAGTCATTTTGTTTCATGAAATTAACATTCTTACCAAGCATGTCTTAACTGTCCACAAAAACGGGGAGCAAAGTTGTTAACAAGCATCTAACTTGAACACGTTAACACTGACGAGCGCCAACTCTATAACATTGTTTGCATTTCAACAACAATTGAGCGAACTCCTTTAAGTTAAAACAAAGTACAATAACTTTCAGCTCTTGCATATATCTTCGTTGGTGCTTCTTAGAATTTCTCGTAGTGATCGTTTCAAGTTGTCTGATAATTACGTCTTGATATCGGCCTTGGGCTCAGCACCACCCGCAGAGGATACTTCCATGCTCGATTCTCCGCCACTCTCCCCCTCCCCCTCTTTTTTCTCTTTCTTGGCTCCTTCCTCCCCCTGGCCACTGTCTTCGCGCCTTCTCTTAAAGCTTCTTCCGCGGTTGCGTCGGAACTTTGATTGGGGCGGGAGTCGATCGATCGCGAGAACTTTGTGAAGTTGTCGGAAAGCTGTTAGTCGAAGGGCGTGCTAAAAAAAAAATAAATCATAATTTAAATGTCTACAAAATTAAAACTTTACTCTGTGACCAAGAAAAGCAAAAGTAAATAGGCCCATCAGGCTCATTAAATCAGTTTTTCCCTCCAGCAAGTGTCAGGTAAAATCTGCTCATCATTTGGGCCTTGTAACCGAGAGTTAACGAGAAAACAAAAACTGATTCACACCACTAAAAAAGTATAAAACAGCAACAAAGACAAAACCATTAAAAAGGTGTGCCTCACCTGTGCTGAAGCCGTCAGATCTTCTCTTTCTTGCATTGAAACAGTACCAAGAGCATCAATAGTTTCCTTCTCACAAGGATCACTCAATCCTGGTCCACCTGTGGCACCAAAGAAAGAGAGTTTTCTACTTTGCTCACCATATAATGCTAGTGCCAGCTTTTAAACAACCGAAAATTATAACTGCACCTTCTAAGAGAAGTCCACTAGAAATACATTCTAACACGCGGCGGAAAGCTTCTCCAGGTCCCAGCGCCTGTTGACTACTGCTAAGCGCCTTCTCCACCAACAGCTCCATCGCCTGTCATAATCCATTTAACACAAGTCAGCAAAGTGTGAATAAATTTAAATCGCATATGCTTACCCTGAATTTCCAGTACTTCTTAATTAATTTGCGATATTTAGACAGACTGGCCTAAATCAGCTTAAAGCTGCTTGAAACAACAAGGATAGCCTACAACGCCGGGAGCTGTTCCCAACTCTTTGCGAGAATTGTGTGGGTTCTTTAACGTTCCGCTGATAACCGGTACAAAGAAGAGACAGGAGACGGAGTCTACGGTTTATCATTCTCATCCGAGAAGACTAGAGTGACTAATAGGCTTCAAGGTCGTGCACCGACAAAATACCAAATTCTCCCCACTTATAAAAAAAAGAAGCGAAATACTGCAAGAGGCGAGAGCTATGAGACAGATCTACAGGTTAAACTAGCTAGGTATTAACCAAAACAGATATAATGCCATGGTCCAAGAGTGTAGTCTACAGTTTTTCCTTTCTTAACAATTGTATAGGCCAGTGCCTGGTTGTTGGAAACTGAACTAATGCAAAGAAAAACAGAACAATTTCCCTTGCTGAAAATACTAGTTAGAAGACCGCTATATGAACGTTTCCCAAACAAGTACTGTGTGCCAGCAGTTTCATTCCTTTCGACCACTAGAGAGCCTAAGACACCTTGCTTTAACCGTACAGCCCCTGGACTGAGAACATAAGAAGTGGTCCCTTAAAATGTACGGTGCACATACCCAGTTGTTGAGAGGAGAAAAAGCCGGTATTCTTCGGCACAAATCACGCATGACGCGTATAATGATGACACAAGACTGCAAACCGTTTGCTTTGGCCTGGGAAATGAAAACAGAGTCAGAATCAGAAAAGGAAACAATTTGTAATCACCGCGCAACTATGAATTTATGTTACCAAAATAAACCATGCATACATATGTACATAAAGTAGAACTGAGTATTGGTACATCATATTTAATGGAAACCCATGAAACATTTTCCGTAAAACTAAACTTCGTCAAAAGATGTATTAAATACTTCAAGGCCATTGCTCTATACTTATAATTGCACATATGAGATGTTCTCAAATACACACATTAACCCTTTACACCCTAAACTCAGTATGCATATTCTCCATACTGTACTCTACACTTTCTCAGTAGCTGACAGGGAGAATTTGTTTAACAATCAAGCGCCTCTTTATTTGGTGATCTTTTCCTTTATTCTCGTAACCTTAGGTGTGATTCAGGGGAATTATTGTAGGGAGAAATTATATGCTGGTCATTCTTAGGTGTCAAAGGGTTAATCAGTCTACACCCATGGAAATTTATAAACAACTTAAAATGTACATGTAAACTGCAAACCAGCACTCCACTCACCAATGAAATGCTCATTTACAAACAAGTTATTATTACATAAGAACCCACAAATACACCATGAAAACCAGAGGAGACACCTGGTGACTTCTGGTTTCCCAAAGAGGAAGTGTCACATATTTGCTCACAATACACATACCTGTTGACGACTTCAAATCGGAACTTCTCATCCAAATATATTTTAAATACAACCAGTAATTAACATGCATTTAACACTGCAGTTGGAAGTAAATTTGAAAACCACAACATGCACCTTACTATTATCCAGAGTAGACCCAATGTATAAATGGCAGACGCAATTAGTGCTCTTTTGTATTCATGTAGATACGCCCTCCTAGCCTTGTTTAAGGAAGAATAAAACCTTACCTCAAAGACAAGGCTCATTGGGCTAATTCACTCGAGTACAAAAGAATACCAGTTCAGCCCACCATTTATGCATACCATCTATGCTTGGGTTCTTTTAAAGTACATCTCCATACAAAATTTGTAAACAAGCCAAAATCTGGGATGTCCATGTATTAAATATACATGTACTGTACTTAAAAACTGAATCAATTATTTGGAATTCTCATATTTGTCAGATGTACCTCCAACAGCAGGACTACTACACTACATTGTAAGAGAGAATGTGACAATTCCTCTTAAAACAGCAAATGAGCCGAACCTGAAACCATTTAGCATGTCGTAGCGATGCCAATGCAGCTAAGCATTTTGGCCTGTCCAGCACTTGAGGATCATCTTCAGCTACGGGTGAGAATCGGGTGGATAAGCAGGAGGTGGAAAGATGTCCCAGCATATTCAAGGACAACACAACAATGCCACCAATACATCACAATCACATAAAACAATCAAGTAACAGTTGGGCTTAAAAAGGAAAATACTGGTGAATTCTGAATGAAAAGTGACCTTCATGCAACATAGTGTTAGTGCTTCACAAATTTGTAATCAATGTGAAACAGAAGCTTTTCCTCTCTTGTTTTTAAAGATCAAATGAGCCACAAAAGTGTGAATGAATCCTGGAACATGGTATTGAAAATATGCAAAGGACCATTCTGAATGCCACACAAACAAACACACACAAAGAGCCAAGAATCTTTCCATCTCCTCCTTCCACACTGTAGCATGGATGGAAGACATCTACATGTAGGTGTACAAGAATTACACACAGAATTCTGCAGATTTGCAACAACATCAGAATGATTATCAAGCACATGGCTGATAGGCTTTTTGCACGGGCATTGCTTCACAGTTAACAACATAATTATTTTGTATCCTTAGGCAAAATGGGATGCTTTTGGACTTAAGAGGAACACTCAATCAGTGATTGACTTTTCCACAAAACATTTCTAGTGCCCCCCTAAAAAAAACAACTATACACCTTAGTTTTGAATTTTACCAAACATCAGTGATAAAAATGTTTCAAATAACTTTTTGGCCCTCGAATGGAAAGGTTGTATTTATGTTTGATAATGACTTTGAAATATATAAAATTACCTCAATTGAAAGCTGAACTTACAGATGACATCCAAAGGTTCCCAGTCAATGGTTGCAACTAATTAAATGCACTTGATTTGCATTTGTAGGCAATTTGATTCATGTTCCTCAAAAGCAACACCAGTTAGCAAGACACAAACATTTGTGTTTTTTAAGTATAAACCACTGGGCCCTTTATAAGATCTGTAATAGGCAACCACTGCTCACAAGTATACATTCAAAATATGTTTCTTCCTGTGTAAAATTTTTAAACTAAATATGTAAATCAGAATCACAATTTCCAAATTGGTTAAGGTTAATTTTGTTGCATCTAAAAAGTGACTTAACAAGGGCCCTGTGGTAGTGTAGAAGGTCATTTTAACAGGTACCGTGTTCTGCCTCCTCCCCCTCGCGCATGACAGGTGATGTCAGAGTGATGGTAACCACCACTTTTGGGTCAGTTGCAGTAGAAATTTTCATGGCAGCTTCCTCAGGCACTACCTTGAGATCATACTTCTCTTCTGTCACTTTCTGCCACAAAAATAAGATTGCAACAGATTATTTTTCACCCTTGAAACAAAAGCTGTTCAGGATTCTAATAGTATGCCACTGAAAACCTATACTTACTGCAAGATGTGCTGGCAGGAGGTCTGCTACTCTGTTCAGAAGCATCTTTGTTGGTTTATCTACTCGAAAAAAGGAAAACAATCTCCAATTAGCAAACTGATCATGGTATGTCATAAAAGGATTTCAAAGCAACTATTCAAGGTCAAGATACAATATACATGAAAGACAGTTATTTAAGAGAAGGATTCAAAAGAATTTCCTTACCATGACAAAGCACAACCAAATCAACATCAAGGCGTTCATGAAGTAATAAGCCTTTTGCAAGCACACCAACTCTCATAACACCTTTAAGAGCTCCTAAAAATATCAAAAAATAGCTTGATGAAAATTAAGTATGGGATAAAATGTTTGATAACAATTGTTAGAAAACCTCAGAGCTTGTTTGTAGCTCATCCTACAGTACAGCACCAAAAGCTTTCACCTTGGGTTAACACATTCATGTAGAGCAGTAAAAGAAAACTTTAAGCTCTTCACTACCTGTTAACCCTTTAACTCCCAAGATCTGATTGTTAATTCTCCCCTCTAACTGGCACACAATTCCATGTAAATAAGTTATGGGAATTTGGTGTTAGATCAAGGTAAAACTTCTTCCTGATAAGTTTGAGTATTCTCATTACCTGGTGGCTGGATAACGTACGGATATTATAGGGAAAAGTTGCAAGTTACTCACTTCTGGGAGTTAAAGGGTTAAAGTATTTCCCTTTATTTAAGACAACAAAACCACAATTAATGTGATGAAGATCAACTTACGGGGTGGGGAAGAGGGTTTGCTGGAATCTTTCTTCTCCTCATCTTCTTTTTTCTCATCACTGCTCTCATCTGACTCTTTCACCTCCATCTTCACTTCCTCTTTTATTTCTTCCCCTTCTTTCTTAGGCTGTGTTGAAAGATCTTGTTCAGCAATCAGATCTGACACAAGTTTTAAAGCCTTCTCTGAGGAAGACACAATCTTCTGGACTGCCTGTAGCTCTTGCTCATTGG